GTTGTCTACTATACCCAATAAATAATTTCCCTTTTTCTCCAAATAATCACTGTTCTCCCCAAAAAAACCCACAATTAAATATTACCAGAAATAGAATCCATTATTTTAACCTTGATTAAATTGACTTCGTATTCTTTTTTCTTTTTCCCAACAATCTAAGTTTCTCAAAGAAAACACTAATGGCTGCTTTCTCACATTCTCTTTGTCTCTTCTCTTAAAGGTCTTGTTATCTTTGTCTGGCCCCTTTTATAATTCCAGTGTGGTAACTCCAGCAATTCCATTATAACAAAATCATCCACATTGCTCTTCGGATTTATTATTTGTATATCTTTCTAAATTTTAAAATCTTCATCAAATTTAATTTGTAAATTCATTATTACCATCACTTTCTCATCGGTTATAATGTTTATATCCACCTGTAAGTCAGTTGCAACTTCATTCAATGAGCCTTCTCCCTCTTCAAGAACACCTTCTGATTTTACCTTAGAGTTAAATAATTCCAAAACTTCCTGTAAACATTTCTTTTAAGGTGGCTATCTGGTGCCTTCTAGGGTCCAACCTTCAAAGTCATCTTACCGGTTTCAAAGGATAAACAACAGGATTTTACTACAAGAAAGTATCTTTTCAATCAGCTCCAAAGTCTTAAATCAAGTTCATTTGGGCCCTTAATCAATTTAAAACTTTCTAAAATCAATAATCACCCTTTTGTTGTGTACTCTGAAAAAAAGTCTTACAAAATTTTACAGTTGTAATTTTTTTACTTAATGCATCTTTAACAAGCAGTAAAAGGAGGGAAAAAAGTAAACTTCAAAGTGATTCAAAAGATAAGCTTTGGTTTAACGTTAAGTCCATAAAAGGCTATATTAATGTCAATGAGCTTGGTGGAATCTACGCTGTTTGCAATTGACCACAAAAGGGTTAGCTTCTGCTGTCTACCACACACAAAAAGGCAGTTGTCCAGAGTATGTATGGGTGATATCAAGATTTCTTCTTGCTCTGGAAAATTTTTTGGCAGTCTGGATCCAACATCTGTTTTTAATTGAAATATACTCTGTTTCGAAAAGGCCAGCTTGCAGTAAACTGTGAATCTACAGTTGATGCAAGGCTGATGTAACATTTATCAAGATAAAAATCTGAGACATGATGTAGCTGAGAAAGACTCCCATTGATTGAGTGATTGATTTATCAAATTTGGAGATCGCCCATCTCCCTCACAGAGTGAGTTGATATTAAGAGATAAACATATAATTAAATCTGTGGTTTGTCTGGAATATAATAACAACTTTTTAAAAAACAACAACAACAATATTTAGAGTGATAAACTAAAAACCTATTTATCAGAATCTGTAAAACAACAACATTTCATGGCATTTTAAGAGACTAGTGATACATTTGTGACATTGTGAGGACTAGAGCTAAAAACGTGAGATACTTAAAATGCCTATCATAACAATTTATATTAAATTAACAATAAATATTAAAATATCGGTATTAGATCAAGATTTGAATCTATGCCTTCAACCAATTGGGGGACCTACTATTAAACATGAAAACCTTCTGGACCTACTACTTCTTTTTGTTATTTCTCTAACTGAGTAAGTAATGAAAAGGAGAGAGAAAAGTGAATGTAAAATTGCTTTCATTTTTGGAAACAAATCTGACTGAGATTAGCAAAATAAATAAATTAAATTAACAGTTCAGGAATTGAATTAGAACCATTCAGAGAAAAGGGCCCACCAAAGCTTCTTAGCCAAATACTATCCACAATTAGAACTGGTACTGAACTATGTAAAATGTAAAACAAAATATAAATATTGGGACAAGCATTTATAAGTAATGGTACCAGTGTTGCTACGTAAAGAAAAGCCATGTTAACATAAGTTAACCTTAAATTCTAGGATATACTAGTTAAATATATCAATGTAATATATTAGATTGGATAGTCACTTTCTATAGTTGGAAACAGTTCCAATTTCCATTGATTTTATCAGATTTTATCTTTAATTTATAAAAGCATTTCTATGCATTATACAAGAATATATCAATATGCAAGAGTCTTACTGGATCAGGCCAACAGCCCATAGAGTCCATCATCTTGTGGCCAACCAACTCCATTCAGGAAGGTTGCAAGTTTGTATATGTGGGTGACACTCCTCTTCTACTATTGTAGAGGCAGAGAAATGGCCTTGAGGAACAGGACGAAAAGCTACTACCAAGGAGATAATCAGATAAAAAGGGCCTGGGCCAAGAATGTAAGGTAAGTAACCATTTCAGACAAATCCCTCTTTAGTTCACATGAAGATGGAAGGGAAGGAAGTGCAAACCTGCAAGATTCTGTTACTAAAGCTTTACAATAAAAATAGTAGTGACTTAGATGACATTGGTTTTATGGTCTGGTCTACTTTGAAGGGCTGATAACTATTGCTATCTAGCAGCTAGTAAGGTATATTGCCTTAAGGCTAAAGGCAATAAATATCACCAAGAACCAAGTCAGTACTGTTCTTCCATGACAACAGAATTACCCTATGCATTTATTAATTCACACTTGGAAGTATTAAATAAGCAATCCAATGACACATTTAGTAACATTTTCTAAAAGCATACTAATATGAATTTTGCCTCCTATATGAATTCACTCTGGCAAAGTTACACTACATTCTCAGATCTCACAGTATGTTGACTTTTAAAAAAGAATTACAATATAAGAATACTGGTTTTCTGTTCAAAATGCTATAAAATATTTAGGGTTTCCCCCCCCCTCAGGTGCTTAACCAAGTAAGGAGTTGAATCCAGGTTATTTATTTATACCCAGTAATAAAATGAAAAAAAAAACATAGTAATTGAAAATTCTGTTATGTGACATATGCTATATTTTGCAGACACATGTTACAATTTTCAACTTCTGTGATGCTCTCCCTATCAGAAATAACTAATCCTGATTGCAAGGCAAGAGGATCTCTTTACTTATCACAGGACCATTGTTCATACCATTGCAATAAATGTCAATTCAGTTGCATTCTATACACCAACAGGGAAATTGCATTTTTAAACACAGGAATATCATGCAGTGTGTGCTATTGCTTGGTTTGCCTCATCTCTTCAGTTCCTGTGATGTCGCTATAGGTATGTGATTGTATAAAATATAGCTGTTGTGTCAGTCTAAGGAACTTAGAAGGCAAAGAAGGTAAGGCCACAGCAACATTGGCCAACAACATTTGTATTTTACTCTTTATTTTTCTTTACTAGGGAAGGAAATGGTTATATATACTGTACTGGTACCATTTTTCATTCCACTTCATGAATGCAAAGAAATGATAGTTCTGATATGTATGTCAAGAGACAATTAAAAATTTTCTGTTTGAACTTACTGTGCTGCATTACATATGTCACAGCTACTAGCTAGTAAAATGTAACTCTGGCTCAGGAAACAGGATGTTCATATATTACAACAAGCAAATGCCACGTTATTGACACCCATGCCCATATTAATGATAATAAATAAAACCTCTATTTCACAAGCATAAACCAGTGAGCACATACTGCAGAACCCACATAGTTAGCAACACTTTGCCAAATTAAAAAAAAACTAAGCAAGATTGGATGGAGATTCCAGGAAATGTCTGAATTGAATGCTAGACTGGGAAGCTGAAAAAAATATTCAGGAAAAATGAAATGTCAAATCACTTCTCTTTTGTTGCCAATACAAATAGATGGAAGAGTTACTGAAGTTCTTAGGAGTCAAATTCATAAACAGAGCATGCTATGAGTTCCCTAACACCATTACTTTATTAATTAAAAGTGAAAGGATGATTTCAGGGACCTTCACCTATAGCAGGGATGTCAAACTGCTGGCTCATGAGCTGGACGCATCACGCAGAAGCCATGCCCACCCCAGCTCCGGCAAGGGGAAAAAAGTTGCAATACGTCGCAACATGTCACATCATGCGGCGAGTTTGACACCCCTGACTTATAGGCATATATTTTGGATATATATTTGTGTTAGTATTAGAAATCATAGAAATCAAATTAGAAACATTAGAAATCGGAACTTGTTATTAATTTCAAAAGTCCAAAGCATCATTTGTATGCCACCTAGATATCTACAATGTACACCTTACATTGATATTCAGTGAGAGTTTTCAGAATCTGAGTTGTATAGTATATTGCTGAAGTTAGCAAAGGTTAATAGCTATTCTGGTGTAATAACTGTTCTTCTCTACCAATGGCATAAAACAAATAAGGCAAAAGACTTTTCCTTATTTTGTTTTGAAAAAGAAACAAGTGGGTAAAAAGATCAGCTTTGAGTGTTGGACTTCAATTTTTAACTCTTTCCAGCAGGAGAAATTCTACCACATTTCATAAGACATCTTACATCTGCCAGAGGACTATTCTGAGAGTTAAATGAGATAATGCAATTATTTTTAGGTTTGTGTCGTTTAGAGAAATGTATGGAATTGTTTGCAATTATGCTAAAGAAATACAGGTGTGGTCATGGCTTCTGAAAACTAGAGCTTCATTTGTCAAGAAACCACAACCACTCCTCTAGGAATCCCCACGGTGAAGTTTAATCCTTTTGGAAGAAGACGAATTTCTATCCAAACAGACAAAAGATGCTCTGTGCAGCGTCAGAGCCACTCACTTCATTATTACTTGACAGATTGATGCTTTCCCCTGAACTCAGCCCTGGGGCTGTAAACAAGTCCGAGAAATGGAAGATTTATATAAGGGTCTGACTTAGATAGCTGGCTTGTTTCCCTAGGTTCGCGGGTCTTCAAGTCTGGTATTTTGGGTGGGGGGGAGAAGGGAATTGATTTTGCAACTTAAGCAGGGAGGGAGAAAAAGCAGCAACAGCCTTCGCCTACGTTATTATTTCTCTCCAGCCCCAACCGCGAATTAGCATTTCTTGTAGCTTCGCGAAGACTTAACAGGTGGAATAAGGCTCCGCCAGACTCTTGGCAGCCACCTCCTGGCCAGGCTAACGGAGTCGAAGCGGTTCGTACCTGGAGGACTCTCCGCTGAAGCTCCCACCGTCCAGCAGCCGCACCTTGCAGAAGAGGATCCCATTGACGAAGGGCACCGAGGAGAGATCGTCCAGTTCCAGCTCCACGCGGAATTTGAACTTCTTTTTCTTCATCATCATGAAAGCCATGCGGGGTAAGGCGGGCAAAGGAGGCGCGCGCTATAAAGCAGCACTCGCCGCAAGGGCCAAGGGGAGCCCTTCCCCCCCTTTCGCCCCCCCTCCCTCCCCGGACGTCCTCCTGTCTCCGCTTAACCCCCCGCCGTTTCCTCCATTACTACACAGCCGTCGTTTCTTCGGCCCTTGTGACCAGGCAATGCAGGGGAGGAGGAAAAGCAGCAGGAGGAGGGTGGGCGAAGAAAGAGGGAGAGGGAAGAAAACACGCCCGCCCGCGCGCTGTCTTCACCCTAGGCAGGCGGCGCGGGCGCTCTGCTACGACATGCGTCTTGCTGCGCCCGCCCCAACGAGCGAAGGAGACGCCGGCCGCAAACCGCCCGCGTTCAAACCAGCCCGCCGCCTCCTCTCCCCCGGACGGGCTCTCTGGAGGGGAGGGGCGGTCTGTTCCCCAGAAGGCTTCTTCTCTGCCCTCCTGCGGCGTCAGTCCGTCGAGTCACGAGGGGCCCCCGCCGAGTGACGGGAGCGCTCTCCCCTTTCTCGGGGTGGGCGCCCCTGCCAGCTCTAGCCGGCACCGAAGGTTCCTGGGGGTGAAAAAAGTGGCGCGGTCGGTCGGTCGGCCGGCCGGCCGGCCCGGCGCGCGCCAGGCAGCGAATCCCTGGGCGCTCATCCGTAGCAATACCCCCGCCAGCTGCAGTAGGACCCCATAAGGACCCCGGGCGGGTTTTTAGGCGTAAAGAAAGAAATGGTGAGGCTCTTGGGGGGGGGGAGATAGGCCTGCAACCCAGGTGTTGCAATGATGTTACTCATTTCCTGACCAGCGGTGACCTCACAGATTTCAGAGGTACGAGAGAAACAAGATTTCAACTATAGGCATATCTCCAGCCAAACGACAAGGCCCCATCACGCTTTGGGTGCAATTCTGCATTCTTTCTTCCCGGAATAGTATAAATTCCCTTGCATTTAGTGACCCCTTCCGTGTTTAGGATTGATGCTTTTTATGCTTTATATATTGAGGCGTTTCCTCCATGCACTAATGATGTTTAATCTTTATTCACAATTCATTTAGAATAATAATTCCGGGTTCCATATTCGGAGACACTGGTGCAACTTAGAATTACTGTTCACTTAAAAATGCTAATTAAAAATCTTGGCAAACCTGATCATGAGTATAAAAATGAACCTTCTTGTAAAATAATGTGTCCTTAATATTATCCTCTTTGCAACTGAGATGTATTTGTCTTACACTGTATATGATTCACAATTTGAAAAGGATTTTTAGCATGGTTTTATGACTCTTCCCGCTCTTAAGATCTTGGCAGAAGTACTGAGTTGTTAATGCCTTAAGGACTTTCAATCAGGGAGAAGTGCCTTAAAATAGCCGGATGTTTAATACTATAAGCAAAATACACTCAGCAAAAATTAGGACACATATCATTATTCACTTTAAAGCATCATCTCAGAGGAGACAAGTGGAAGAATGTTGTATTTTGCACAGTTAAATGGGCCACTAATTACTTTTACAGAATTAGAGTATTTCACATTTTCTCTAAAACACTCAAGGCAATATTTTTATTCCCACGCCCTGCCGTTATATCTTTGGGCTAACCTTAAAATGTAGATTTTGCTGGGAGAGAGTGACTGGCAGTGAATGGATCTGAATGTTGCAAAAGTTTGAACCAAGAACATGAAGGAATGTGAAATTGGATCTCTCACAATAATAGCTCTGCTTATTACAGTAATGCCAAATTTAGTAATTCCTGGGGTGCATATTTTCAAGCATGTAGTTATTGTATTATCAGCACTTCATGTTAAAGAGATAAGGAGAAGTTTGTCTTTTGCCAGGTTGTGTACATCTGAGTGGATATTTCTTCTCCTTCATGCCTGTTACCAGTAATTTACTCAGGAAGTTATAACAGGTTTGGACACACACACACACACACACTTATTGTTATGATGCTTTTCAAGTAAATAGTTTGCACTCAGCTTAGCAAATTATATATACATTTTTATAGAGAGCTTCCTGCAGTTTCTTAACTGTTTCCTCTTATTCATACAGGTGTTTTTCATTATAACAGATATGCCATTAGAACAGACATCCCCCGGGCCGGATGCAGCCCGCAAAGTGGTTTCATGTGACCTGCGAAGCCATCCTAGAAACAGTGAGGGAACGGCCCCCGCTGCCTTGGCCCTGGCTGGCTGGGAGCCAATGTACAATTTTGTGGTGGCCATCTATGCTGAAACACATTCAATCTTGGCTCCACAAGGCCGTCTGGAAACAGCGAGGAACCAGCCCCTGCCGCATCGGCCCCACCCCCTGGTGCATGCTGGGGAGGTGTCACCATTTGTGAGGAATGAAGAAATGCATCATCGCCTGGCCAGCAAATGGCCATTGCCTACTTCACATATTCGGCTTGATGGGCTTTGGGGGAGGGGTTTTGGCAGGTAGCGGGGCACTCTCACAGCGTTGAGAGACAGCTGGGCGGCACAAATCCAAAAAGAAACGCAAGCCCGCCCAGCTCCCAGCCTGTCTGGTTTCAGGCAGTGGGGCACTCTCCTCACAGCGCCAAGAGCTAAGCCAGGTAGTGCGAATCTGATGAGAAGTGCAATGCTGCCTAGCCTCCAGCCTGCCCAGTTTTAGCAGGCATCAAGGTACAAAGCTGGTGAGTTTCGCACCGCCTGGCTCAACCTCTCGGTGCTGAGGAGAGCACCCCGCTGCCTGCCGAAACCAGGCAGGCTGGGGGCTGGGCGGCATTGTGCTTCTTTTTGGATTTGCGCTGCCCGGTTCAGCTTCTTGGCGCTATGAGGAAAGAGCCCCGCTGCCTGCCGGAACTGGGCAGGCTGGGGGCTGGGCAGCATTGCGCTGGTAACATTGACTCTCACGCTGTTCGTGGCATCCCCTCCCCCAGAGCCCACCAAACCAGATATGTGAAGTACGTGAGGGCCATGTGCTGGCCACTTCCAGGTGATGGCGCATTTCTTCATTCCTCACAGAGGGTGACACCTTCTCAGCTACATTTCTTGCCTGTTTTTCTCCATCCCTCATCTCAAATATTTTCCTTACTTAGGAAGGAGGAAAGGGAGGGTCTGAGGGAAGTCCTGCCTTACTCCTGCCCTGCTGCCCTTTCACCATCCCCTTGCTCCCTCCTCCTGGCCTATCTTGGGGGTCTCCCATCCTATTGCTAAGGAAGCTTTGGATACAAAGCCGGGTCTCCTCCCATGGAGAGGGAATGGATCTCCCTCTGACTTTGCCCTCGTACCCGTCAAGAGCAACCTGGCTAAGGAGAGCAAGCACAGCAGCAGCAGCCTTGAGGAGGAGGTAAGTGCAGCTGGGTGCCCCCTTGGGGAAATGGAGCTGGGCTTGGTGCCGTGGATGCTCGAGGGCTAGGCTGGGCATTTGACCTCTACTGTCCAGGGCTCCCGGCAGCCTGCACCACCATCCAGCCCCCCCCCCCGCATGGCCTGAGAGGAACAGTGAGGCTCCTCCAGTGGACCATGCCTTGGCAGTTGCCCTGGTCCCACCCCTTCTGCCAGAGACCCTCAGATCTGTCCCACTCCTGCCCAGGCCCCCACAGGCACCCTTGACGCGAATGATGTAGAGCTGGCCACACCCACTCCATCCACGCCCACCCAGGCCACACCCACCTGGCCCCCAAGGACAACCGCAATGCTGATGAGTTTGACACCCCTGCATTAGAAGCTTCATTACTTTCCTGTTTCAGGCTTATTTTTAACCTAAAGTAGAGGATTGAAAGAAGGAAAAATCTTTCCCTGAATTTCTGGATTGCAAAAATAACAAAGTTATCCTACACTGAACCTCACCAAAAATATCACTTGAAGCCAAATTCACCAAATAGAAGCTGTCGTACTTTGGTCATGATGCGAGTTGACTCACTTGAAAAGTCAAATATACTGGGAACAATTAACAGAAAAATGATAAGGGGGAGCCCTAGTACCTATTGGATGGACACTATAAAACGGGTCCTCAACCCCTGGTCCATGACCCAGTGCCAGGCCTCAGCCTGTTCAGAATCGTGCCTTGGAAGTGGTGGGAGAGCGTCTACTTGCACATGTGTGTGAACCTGCATTTGTGAAAGCGCACAAGCAAAACATCCCCTCCCCCCCCGCTGCCTCCAATGGTCAGCCAAGCTATAAAGGATGACATTGGGAAGACCATGGTGGATCTGAAGGAGACAGTACGAGAGAGGGGGGCATAGAGAGTGCTGATCCATAAAGTGGCCGAGGGTCGGACATGACTGAAAGGTGGATGATGATGAACTTCTTGGAATGCTAGCACCTTGATCAAGTTTTCCTTGCTACTTCTGGTCTGTCCTTTCCAGCATAGGATATAGAGCAGTGGTTCTCAACCTTTTTAATGCCGCAACCCCCAACCGGTCGTAAGTCGAGCACTACTCAACCAGTCGTAAGTCGAGGACTACTCAACTGGTGCAGCACCCTTTGCAGAATGGGACTTTTGGCGGGCTCAGCAGGGCAGAGACAGCCTGGACAATTCCTATTGGCTTTTGAAAGCCAATAGAATTAGACTCTATTCAAGAGAGTCTATTCTATTGGCTTTCAAAAGCCAATAGAATAAAAGAGAGTAGCACAGCTAAGGAAAAGGGGGAAAAAATGGTGGACTGGGTTGTTTGGCGACCCCCGTGAAATGGTCGTTCGACCCCAAATGGGGTCCTGATCCACAGGTTGAGAACCACTGATATAGAGGAAATAGAGAAGCAAGCAAAGGTATGAAACCTGTATTCTCAGTATTTAGGTAGTCCTTGACTTACGACTGGTTGTTTAGCAACCTGTCAAGGTTGCAATGGACTCCAAAAGCTACATATGATCCAGTTCTAACAGCCAGCTCCCCTTGTGGTCACATGATCACATTTTGGGCACTTGGCAACAGGCCTGCTTTTCCGTCTGATGGCAGCATCTCATGGTCTTATGATTGTGATTTAAAGAATTTACTGGTTTTTGCTAAAAACCGGTGTTTACTTCCGGTTTCCTGCAAAACTGCCTCATAGCAAATCATGGGTTCACTTAATGACCACTATGCTTGTTTCATGACACTTGTTTGCTTAATGACCACATTCATTTAATGACCACTGCAAAAGAAGGTTATAAAAATCAGATGACCCATTTTTACAACTGTCACAGCTTATGACTGTAATTGGCAGGCTCAATTACTATCATAAGTTGAGGACTACTGTATAGTGCTGGATCTATAGTATATGCCTACCAGCATCTCCCTTAATACCCTCCAAGCTAGATGCACTACCTGATGTTACTTTTGTGAATTTCTTTTTAGTTTAACACAAACTTAAACTTTCATCTTTAGTTCCACCTACAGTCCAGTGTTTTATTTAGAAGTGTGTCTACTTTTTCAGAAAAAAAAAACCACAAGACAAAGATAAACTCTGTAGAGAGCATACTGAGTGGCTAGAATGGATCATAAGAGAACAACTACTGTATATCAATCTGCCCTCAATGCTATTTTCCGCAATCTCCATACAACCTTTTTAAAAAAGTAGTGAAAATATATTCTCAACATTCCAAATGTATAAAGCAAAAATAATATAATTTAGAATGGAGGGTGATAATTATCTATTTTTAAATAAATTATAAATTTCTAAAGGTATTGTTCTCTTTTCATCTCAAATGGATTATTGTTATGCAGTCATCAAATAATTGGAAGTTAGAAAGGTTATTGATTTTTCATGTTTTAAAATACAACTTTTTAAGTATAACCTAATACAATATTTAGAATAATTTTATTCAGCAATAGATAAGACTTTCCTTATACAGTGGACTTTTTTTTAATAGCCCAATGTTTTATCTCCCTCTGCTGGATTCATGGTGTAATTATTGAGAATTTGATAGCATTTAAAAGGGAAAATTGCTCAAACGTTTGCATTTCAGGGTCTTTAAATATTTTTTAATTTGTAATTATTATCTGATTTGTGGAGTCCTCAGTGCTTTCTGAATTTGTTGTTTGCTTGCAGACATTCATTACTCATATATGAGTGAATGGGGGAGGACTACCCGTATATAAAAGTTTGCACTGCAGTTGTTAGATTAATAACACGGTTGTTAAATGAATGTGGCTTCCCCGTTGACTCTGCTTGTCAGAAGGCTGCAAAAGATGATCACGCGATCCCGCAACATTGCAACTGTCATTAATACATGCCAGTTGCCAAGTGTCTAAATTTTGATATCATGATGCTACAATGATCGTAAGTTTGAAAAACAGTCACAAGTCACCTTTTTCAGTGCCATTGTAACTTCAAATGGTCACTAAACAATGACTATCTGTACTTACAAAGTAATAAAGATGGGAGAAAAATCAAATCAATCAATAAAAATCTATTATCATGTGTTGCCAGTAAACAAAGTAGCAAGCCACTTCATTAACTAGATAATGTTCACCACGTTCAAATGACATTTCTCATCATTGCAAAATTGAAATTCAGGAAAATTATGCAGAAATAAACATGTTGCATATTATACAGATATTGTTCCTATATAGTGCAAAATAAACATGGACTATATGACAACTGATTAACTCTAACCCTACATTCTAGGTTGGTCTTCCCTACTTTTTTTGTCCTTCAAGTGTCATCTCTAGCCAGCAATATCATTAAAGAAATGCAATGAGTACGTGATAGGATTGTGATTGTGGGGAAAATAGAGGAAGGAATGCTACATATATATCCTTCAGATCTTACTGGAAAAGTAGGATATAAATCTAACAAGTTAAAATGAAACATGAGTTTTGTAATTGTAATTATGCTTCTTGTTTTTATTGCCTGTCATCTACAACATAGGTGCAGCTGCAGCCAAGCAAGGCACTGCCATTTTAGAAAATAAAGGTGCTATTTGTAATGATGCTGTTTGTTCTGACTGTTTCTGATCAGATTTTGTTATTTTTTTTTGGTAGAAGTCAGCAATGGAAAATATATTTTGGAAAATAAATTTTATCCTGGCTGCAGGTCTCTTGGCTATTGATGTTGCCTTAGAAACTGTATTTCCAGTTGATATAGTAACTAAGATGGCTCTTGAGAGCAAAGTCTCCCACAGCAGCTGACATTCTGTTTCAACCTACTGTATAATGCAAATAAATTTTGGGATCTTTACTTCGAAACCAAATTCTTCATTTAATCATGGAATTATAACAGATATTATATTTGCCTTGGGTCAAATTTTGAAATACTGTTTTCATCATATCAAAAATTAAAAATGCTTTAAAATATCCAAAGCAGACAATCCAACAGAGTTAGGAACCCTAAAATGCCGTGTGGTTAAGAACAGATAGAACTTTTATTATTTATTTTTATTTGTTAAGTTTATTTGCCGACCATTTCACCATGAGGAGACTCTGGTCAGCTTAGATTATTGAAACAATAAAACCATAAAATATACATATATATTTAAGTACAATAAGATACAGGTTATGATTAAAAGATGGGGAGGGAGAGTGTAGAATGTATGGGGGAAGGTGATTTCAGCTGTAGGTCCATCAACCACCTCCAGCGTAATAATTCTCCCATTGGGGCCCCAAGACAACTGGCAGAACCAAGTCTTCAGGCTTTTGCAGAAAGTCGGGAGGGTAAGAGCCAATCTCACCTCTGTGTGTGTTTGTGTTTGTGTGTGTGTTGTGTGTGTGTGTGTAAGATATTCCAAGGAGCAGGAGCCATGGCAGAAAAGGCTCTTCTGGACCCTGCCAGCCAGAATTCCCTGACCAAACCTGAACTTGCAAAAAACAATCAAACATTGCAGTGCAGATATTTCTTTTTGGAGTTCCAGATAACCATGTCTTTTCTTTTTTTTCAGAAATTTTCATTCCATTCCTCATCCTTTGGTTTCCATCTTCCTTTTATCAGTCAGACAGTAATCCATTCCAAATGAGGATCCCCTTCTTTGATTTTCTTTCCTTTCCTTTAGGACAGAGCTGGGCAACTTTTTTTATGGCTGAGGGGCACTCTGTTATGGCATGATACAAAATGAACAGATCCATAGGAGAAGATCCAGGGGTTTCTCTAGGTTTCCTAGGGTTGAAGGAAAAGTCTTCATCATGGTTCAGTCCAAGCCGGGAATAAACAACATGGCGACTGCTTTAGAAAGAAGGTTGCAGTTTATTGAAGAGGAGAGCCAGACAGAAAGATGGCTCTGGAAGAAAAGAGAGAGAGCACATGCAGGGAGTGGGTTTTTATACCCTCTGGAGCATTTTGTTTAGAGTTGTTCCTGTGGCATGAACTTTGACCTGAGTCTGAGTGTGGCTTTCTGGTGTTCTGATGGTGATGGGTTAATCCTATTATGTCCCAAAGGTCACATCCTGCTTCCCTGTGGCTATGGCTGATGACTCTTAGATTTTTGGTGTGAGGGATTGTTGATTCTAGGGATCTTTTTTCCTAACCACAGTTTCCTGACTCCAGTCTTTCTGACAAGATTATCACATCTGCATTTCTGCAGACTTGGTTTCTGTTTGGGACAGAGAGACTTGGGGGGTGGATTGGTTTCTGCCTTTAAAATCTTTTAGGGAAATACATATTTCCCACACTAGTTTTTAAATAGAGGTTTTCTATTCCAAAATGCTGCTTGCAGGTTTCTCACCTAAAAATTACACGGTTGCTGCTGTGGAGAAAATACGAGGCAAAAGTATTAAATATGTTTCCTGCCTTGAGTTGACCAATATATGCATATAAACACAAAACATGGTATAAAAAGCTAATCATTATCAACTGCTAGGAAATCCTAGGTTATTTAAAAGATTCAGAAAGGAAAAAGCAAGCAGAGATGAAGTTTTAAGAAACTGGCATATTAATTTACATTAAATTTTCCTTTGGGACCTCTGGGTCTCCCTACCTATCTCTATATATTAAATAATGACTATGTTATCACTATTTTATACACATGAATATAATCTTTGGTTATCAATTTGTTTAGAGCTATGAATTGCTGTAAGAAAACAAGCTAAACTTAAATCCATATAAAACAAGCTGTTGGTAAGTAGGAAGCTGGAGTTCACAGTGTGCTGGATGGGGTCTCACTCCTCTTGAATGAGCAGATGCTTGATCCTTAGTTGTCATTGGGTTTGCAGTGATGGGTGTGATAAGGAGTGCACTTGCAGAGTCCTTCACCAGTTGCAATCTTTTCTCAGCCAGTCAGATTGTGGAAGCTGTTTAACCATTAATGTTAACCTTTTCTTAGTATTAACTACTACATCATTTTGAATTGGTTTATTAATCATAGTTTATCCTTTGGGGGCTGGACAGTTTGTCATTATCTGCCCCCTCAAGCTTTCCTAGGAATTCCTTCAGAGTAGCCAAGTATAGCAAATGGATTTTCCTGGTAAATATATATTAACAGAAAGCTTTTCCTGCTGTAATATATTCATTTTGCAAAGAATCTACTCCTACTGGAGCCCCTAGAACGGGACATGTGTTCTGCTCAATCCCTTTTTCAAGTAGTTGTTACTCACCAAATGTAGTTACTCACCAAAGATAGCCGTGATAATTGTATGTGCGTAATAGACATGTGAAGATATCTATGTAAGAATTGATAAAACTGCATTTTGGACTCTCCCTATAACCTTAGATTACTTTACGATTACACCTCTTAATCATAGTTAAAGAATCTCCTTAATCTCTTCTGTTAAAGATTTCAGTAGGATTACTCCTTCTGCTATTGAAAATAGCCGTTTACAACAAATACCATACAACAGGACTAGTTTCGGCGTGTTACATATCTGCCTGCCATGCAGCCTTTCTTAATCTCGGATCTCCAGATGTTCTTGCGCTACGCAAGTGTTCGCAGGGTATGGCAAAAAACAACAACAAACCATAAACAACAGGCAGAGCTTCGTTCGTCCCGCCGCGGCCACCATCTTGACTTTTTTGACCATGCCCTCCGGACACCCTGGACAGCTTGTGTTATCCTCGATAAACAAGATCGCTCGCCACCCAGCAAATGTGGGGACACCAGCTTGATACAAAGGAAGGCTCGGCCTAAGTCATCTTAGACACGTTCCAAATTCCAGACCTAAAAACTCAGCGGAAGCCAAATATCAAAAAGATTCAGCCTTGCAACAGTGTAAACATGAAAGCGAAGCAAGGTCTGTTTAAAGGCGATTGTTTCCATGGGAATCAGCGCGAATCTAATTGGACCTGCGTCTCCCTGGCCAGCCCGTGTGAGATGCCACCATTGCGGCATCTGTCCTCGGCGGCAAAATCTTCCAGAGATTCCCTGGGATTTACCTCTACGCGAACAGGACAGACTCGGGCATTTAAAAAAAAAAGAGAGAGAGAGAGAGGCGCAACTGTGTGTGTACAGTTGCAAATACTATAGTAAAGACTGTAGCGGGCTTCCCGCGCTAAAATTGCCTATCCCCGACTGTGTGATTTGCTTTCCTGCAAACTGTTCCCTTATGTACTGTACGTAGGAAGGAGGCCAAAGGAGCCAAGCCCCTCCTATGTCTGAGTGAGTCAACCACCGGAGAATCCAGTGAAGAGAAACCAGCTCTTCCTCTTCCTGCTCCTTCCTGGGGTGTTGCTTCTTGGCCGTCATCTTTATTAAACGTTGGATGGCTCCTCCCAAGAGCTGCAAAAAGCCAACGGTATTTTTAAAGACTTCGCTTTAACGTGAGGCCTTTAGATTGTTGGATGTGTTTTTTACGACAGGCTTTGGTGTGTAACCGTGCTTTGGCTCTCTTCCTGCTATTTATCCCCATTTTGTTGTTTAGCCTTCCGGGCTAAAAAGTTCTTAGACTGCACAATGCTCCGCATTCTGGGGGGCTTTGTGTTCCCGGAAGCTGCCTGTGAAGCGGCCGAAAGTAAGTCGAGGTACGAAAACCTCTTCAAGAAACTAGATCGTAACCAGGATGGTCGAGTGGACATTGCTGAGCTGCAAAGTGGCCTTAAGGAGTTGGGCATCCCTCTGGGAGATGACGCGGAGAAGGTGGGTGCAAGGCATAAGACTTGCTTAAGAGGAGGGGGAGGAGGGAAAAGAAGCATGGGAGTAATTGTTTCTGAATCCGAACCCTCATAAAGGAGAGTCTTGGAAACCCGAAGGCTGGCGAGGTGTTGTGTGTAAACCTTATCTCAATACAAGTTTTTTTTTTTAAAAAACAAACGAACAATGGTTTTGGCTACTGTATAAAAAGAGCATGCCATCCTTCCTTCCACTCATCCCCATTCATTCCACTTGTGGTACATTGGCACCTGGCAGGTGGTACATGACCATCCTAGAAAAGTAGTGGAGGAGGGGAATGAGCTGAATCGGTGGCAGCACCGCACAAGCCTGAGCAAGAGATGGCTGGAGTTGCAGGGCTCTCAGGGCTCAGCTGAAGTGCCAGGATCAGCACCAGGCTCCAGCTAGAGCTTGGCACTGATCCTGACGCTTCTGCTGAGCCCAGAAGAAGCGCTGATTAGCTGGATGGAATGTTGCGGCATCTCCAGGGTCTTGTGATTTACATTCAGATGCTTGGCAACTGATTCATATTTATGACGGTCACAGTGTCCCAGGGTCATGTCACATGACCAAAACCTGCTGCAACCACCCAGCACGGGGGGGGGGGGGAATAAAAACCAAACACCCTCCACCCCACCCCTGCTGCCAATCCTCAACAGAAATGCTCACAACAATGAAAACCTTGGACAGGAGGAAGAGTGCCACCGGGTGGGCAGGCAGGTGTCTTGCTCGGCTGTGGCTTAGGGGGCATTTTTTTCAGTGCCGTTGTAACTTCACTAAGCAAACTGTTGTAAGTCGAGGACTACCTGTACTTTATCAAGTTTTTGACACCTTGCTAGGTGACTGGTGGTACTCGGATGTTGCCATATCCTAAAAGTGGTACAATGGCTGAAAAGGTTGAAAAGCCCTGTTCTAGAGACCCGTTGTAAGAGGTTAACACATTGCATAGAGACAAATCTGTTCAATCAATGATCAGCTTCAGTACAAAGTTCAGTCTAAAGACAGTTTAATGAATCATGGCTTGTTCATAAATGGATTGGCATGATGAATGTGTTTGGAAACTTATTTGTGATATGTATACTTTATACTTTCATGTCTAGTCTAAAGTTCACTAAAACAATGAGATATATGAAGTGGTATATAGGTTGAGTAGATTACAAACATATGGAAAAAGGAACATTTTGTGTTAGAAAGTTTCCAGGAGAAACTACGAATTGATAATTTTTAGTAGCCTACTTACAGAAATAACAGAATCAGTGATGGCCCTACCTGGGCATTTTGCCGCTTGAGGCATAAATCCAAGTGATGACTAATAAAAATATAATTAAGAAGCAAATGTATGTTTCTTTTTATCATTGACAGTTGGTTTATACAGTTGTCCCTGGATACTACAGACTATTTAATTAACGTGAATTAAAGAATTGTTTGCAGCACTTTAAATATTGTCTGTGGTTTTTCTACGGCTTAACATGCCATCCAAGAACAAGAGATTCAACAAGGAAAGATGCACCGAGTCCTCTCCTTATGACAGTGGCATTTGGCAGGATCCAGAGAGCATGTCTTCTCTATCCTGGCTACTGCCCTATGGAAGAGTTTATGCCCTGAGATTAGGATTGCACTAACTCTGCTGACTTTGAAGAAGGGACTTTTTCCATGGGCACTGGGCTGAGGTGTGAGCCAATCTGAAATGCTTTGATATGGTATGTTTATGGGTTGGCCTCAGTTGTGTCATGGCATTGTTCAGTATATTGTTTTGGCATTCATTTTAATCCCTTGGTAGCTGCCCAGAGTTGCAGCTTGCTGTATAAATAGACTAAATGAATAAATAAAGCAAAGAACAATCGCTGTGTACATTTAGTGTGAACCAGAATTTGAAACTATGAGGGTGGTTCCATCTTTTGCTTTTATGCTACCTGGAAATGACAGTTGCCTCAGATTCATACAACATGCTTGGTCTATCCAAAGCCACAGAATGCAGTTAAAAGAACCATATAGGACAATTAAAAGATGGTGGAATACTTATTTACATACTCAGATAGAGTGGCTATGTAAACTAACATGAACCAGAATATGTTGGATATCCACAGGAATCTGAGCTTTCTGAATTTTCTGTAGCAATGTAACCAAACCTGTTGTGTTCCACAATCCTTCACTCATTTATCTCTGCAATTCATACATAAATAAGTTGCAAGAATTATTTTCTGGCAGAATTTTGCAATGCTTCCTTATCAGGAATAGGGAAGGCACTCCAAGTTAATCAATGAGAATGAATGTGGCGGAAGTAGATGGTGAGATAGCGTGCTGAACTAGAATTTCACAACTGATTATAATAGAACTTGAATCAGTAACTTTCTAATGAATGTTCGATTTGTTTCAGTCTCAAGCTGCTTCTGGTATTTCATTCATTAAAGTTATTTGAAAAATAGAAATGTCTGCCATCAGTAGAATACTTATTTGGAGTACAGAAATTGGGACATTTATTTGATGGGAGCAAAGACATACAGAGGACTCTAAATTTGCTTCCGTCTAGGATTTGATGGATTTTTGCAGTTCAAATACGATGCAACTAATACATCAGTGGTACATATCCCATTAATATTAGTACTAACATTTATTAGGGTAATTATTAGCATTGTCATTTGAACTGACCAGATACGTAAAGAATTGCTGTGTTTCATTCATTAACATAAGTAAAGTATTCACATTTTTGAAGAGAGGGAAATTCAGTGCATGCTATTTTAGGCTGTTTACACTATATAATATTAAATAAGTTTAGTTTGTATCGATCACACTTTGTGTGTTATTGATACAGTAATAATGTGCTGGATGAGCTATTTAAACCACTGCAACTGCAATTGGCACACTTACTATTTTAATATATATTTTACTTAGTTTAATTCAGTCATATTTAAGGATACCATTCTGGTAGAAGAAAAGCTGAATGTTCAAAAACATTTTAATTAATAAACACAGGTGGTGCTATGTTTGCCCCATTTTGTACAAATCTAATGTATTCATAAGTTCAATGCTTTTCTTTTGTTTCTGAGTCTATTTTCAGATAAATTTTGAATTCATTGATATTTAATGTAGAAGGTTTTTTTGTTGGTGTTAGTTTACATACTGGTTTGTATAGGGCTAAGCTTTGATATATATCTATCCTACCCTTTTAAGGATAAAACCTTGAATTTTCATTAGGTTTTGTAGGCGTTGCCTTTTTATAGTACTGGCTGCTGCCATGCCTGCTTATACTGCAAATAAGGTCAAAGCCTATTGGATCATACACCTATACAGTACTTGGCTGGGTATTGTGGAGATATTCTCCACCTCATCTGGAGAACAGCAAGTTGGGCAAAGCTGGTTTGGCAAGATTTGAAGAAAGGTAATATACTAGATAGCCAGAGGTGAAGAATGTTCAGATGCTGTCAAGACAGGCTATTTCAACTTTGTGTTGCTTTTTGACTGCTTTTTTGTCTTGTGTATGAAGAGACAAGTCCTTGCTTATCGCATCTCTAAAAATGTAATGACAGTGTTGCTGATAGATAGAAAGCTGCAGGCCAAGAATAACAGATAACAGTTAAATATTGCATCCCTGAACATAGCTAGATCCATTGAAATATTATTGAAATTATACTACATTTCAAGATGTGAAGGGCATCTACCTCTTGAAAATCTTACACCAAGGTGCTCTTTCTGATGTATTAAGTATATGGAAGATAATATCTTAGCCAAAATAAATAGAAAACAAACAGAAGACCTACAATAAGACAGTGTAATTGTAAGTATGTGAATGAGAGGATAAGCAGAGAAGTATGAGGCTATTTATTTTATGGAAATTCGAATTAATTCCTGGACTGATGGATAATATTAAAACAAAAACACATAAAATGCATCTTATTCCTCTTTGAGTAAATTTAAACGAAGTCTCAATTCTCAGCTAGCATAGTAAATGGTTGGGTATTTTAGGAGTGTTAGCCATGAAAATTTGAAGGGCATTAGATTGTGAAGATCGAATAACAGATTAAAAATAAGTTTCAAAATCGGGAAAAAACCTCAATATAAATGTTTATAGAAATAAAGGCATCTCTTGTTGGTGCTGAAATGACAGTAGACAACTCTGCAAGCCTCCCAAAAGAAATAACTGAGAGGAACTACAAGAAAAGAGAAGACTATTTCCTGTTATTAGGAATGGGCAAGCCTCTTCTGATCATGACAGTTGAAAAATGATGTCATGGGATCCCATATTGTGGCTCTCAGTTTCCCAATCATCAAATGGTTGCCCTCCCCTTGAGCCAAGGTCACAGGTGAAGTGAAACATGAACAGAGACCTGTGGCTCTTCATTTAGTCTAAGTCAGAGTTCCCCAACGTTTCTGGCTTTGGGGACTGGTGTGGGGGGAGGGGATGGTTCGTACAAGTGGCCGGCACGGGGTCCCCAATCCCCTGTCTGTGGACTGGTACTTGGCCACGACATGCCAGCAACCCGTCCGCACAAATTAGCAAAGCCCCATCTGTGGGATGCAGGCAGCACACAAAGCCATGCACTCTCCGGTCTGTGGAAAAACCTTTCTCCACAGAGAAAGCACCCAAAAGGTTGGAGACTTCTGCCTTGTGGCCTGTTAGTGGGTGACAGCCCACAGGTTGGGGACCCCTGGTTTACACAATGAAGGGTTTTAAAAAGGAAAATCTGAGTAGAGGCAATATCAGCCCCACCAGATAGATCAAGAAATCAATTCCACAGGTAACCTAAAGGTGTTTATGTACATACACATGTCTGTGTTTACACTCTCCTGTCATTATATCTCAATGTGTTTGCATATCTATGTATTTGGAAAATATAATGGGCTGTCCAAATAAACTTGGGAGATAGGAAGAAGAGCTGCACCTTAGACAATGGTTTGAAAAGAGACACCTGCGTCCATAGGAAGGATAAGAGTGGAGAAAATGTATCTGAAGGGACCCTACCCAGTTTTCTGGAAAGTAAAGACAGGGGAAGGAATGTGTTTTCAGACATGCAAGATTCTGCAGTATTTCTGTAACCTTACAGTAAATTAGTAAGAAAGTTTTGGTTTCCTGCCTAGACTATCTTGAAGGACTGGTGGGCTGCATATGTTCCACTCTAGGTCATGTGATTAGGAGAGAGGCTTAGAATGGAGGAATTGACAGCATTACGGGAAGTTGCCCAACTCATTGTCAGAAATTGTCCTTCTAACAGACAGACAGTGCTAAATCCCTTTAGTTAATTGCTTTCTAGCATCTTGTTGGGTTGGAAAGAATAAAACTGAATGTAGCATAGAGGAAGCTCTTCAGATTTTACTGGAGTCTGATTTCTATCATCACATAACTAACCTTTTAAGGGACACAAATGAACAACATTTGCAAGACTACAGATTCTCCAGTCCTTTTCCAAAGAAATGTTTGATCTGATCCAGTATATCAGTTCATGTTTTTAATATTCCCATGTGTCTTAATGTATGGAAATTACATTGAAATCCTACCTGCTGAAAAAATGTCATATGAATAAGTCCTTTGATAATATTTGGCAAACAAAATATTTTATAGCATTAATATCTGTATCTAATTCCTGGTGGGTTGCAGTGGAAACAATCCATCATACAACTTTTAACCATTTCAATTATAAGAATTAGGCTTCATCTAATATTGTTTTGCTAAACAATACTTGTTTTGTTTCTCATTCCTTCCTCTTTCTTGGATATTTTGTGTGTCTGTAGTTACTGATAGTCTGTAGAAATAACTCTAAAGTGAGAACCCGCTTGAAATCATATGCAACATTAATAATGCATATTCTATATATTTTTCTTGACAGAAAATTTTCAGGGCTGGTGACACTAATCAGGATGGAAGACTTGACTTTGAAGAATTTACACATTATCTTAAAGACCACGAAAAGAAAATGAAGCTTGCATTTAAAAGCCTGGATAAAAATAATGATGGTAGGATCCAATTTGCTGCTTTAGCTGTATATGTTAAGAATGCAAATTTAGTACAAATAAATAATAAAGCATTTCTACTATGAGTTGACAATGTATTAACAAATTAGTCTTTGCAATCTTATAAAATATGGGTATTCATTAATATCTTGTTAATTTATTAAGGGAAATAAATTATATGTATGAAAGAATAGTCACTAAAGGGTTCTTTAAATCCTCTGGAAGTGCCAGTAAAAGTAAAAAATTCAAATTAAGATTGTTATTTATTGATATAGAAATGAGTGCTTAGAGTTAGATGCTGAAACTCTTCAACATTGAAAATATATCTGCCATGAAGTTGGTGCTGCTGCTCTGAAGCTTTGAGAGAAGAATGAGTTAAATTTGTAATGCAAAGCCAATAGAGGTCTTACAAAAAGCAGCAGTCTACAATATCACGTTTTGCTGTGCTAAAGTGCTAAATGGCAGCATAGGAACCAAGTATTTCTAAACCAACTTCCAGTAGCCCCATCCAGCTACTGGATGATGAGAGATGCTGGGAGTTGAAGTTCAGTAGTATCTGGAGAATAAAAGATTTCTTTGCTTGCTTTAATATCTTGGACCAAGATCCTTTACTCTGTTAAGGTTGCGGCAGAATTTGCTAACTGAGAAGAACTCTATTCCAAGCAATAGTCCTGAATTATTCTTGGCAGCACCACGTTTTTAGAAAGAAGGACCAGTGAGACTTATTATTGAAAACTATTTTCTACAGAAAGGATTTACCACAGTCTTCACTGTACAGCAGAACTAACAGCCAGGAAAGGTTTTGTGAAAGTTCTCCCTATTTGTTAAGTACTGGGTAAGACACCGTTACCCAGACACTGTGCTGAATATTTCTGAAGAAATGTATTCTATTTTGATGAGAATATTGTTGTTTAGAAGCAGCTGGTGAAGGAAGCTGTAGTTACTCTTTAGCATTTGAGCAGCATGTAGTGGGGCAGAGATTATAAAATGGGATTTAACATACCCACCCACACCCACATATCACTTATATTGGTTCATCTGATGAAAAAGGATAAACATCAGGGAAAAGAAATTCTAATTCCCCCTTTCCTTATTTTTCAGTTTTTTTAAAAATTAGTTTAGGAATGGACAGAATCCGGCTGAAACCCTTCTCACATGAGAAGTATACATGAGTGTGTTTGTAAGGCCAAAAGGGTGGGAGAGAGCCATCTATGTTGATTTAAAATCCTTGGAGGAAAGGCAGTACAATAAGGCCAGAAAATGGGGATTAACTTTCTCATTTATAAATGAAGTAAAGTCACTATTATTCAAATATTGTTCAAATCTTGCTTATGTTCCACATCTAACTATATATTGTGGCAGATTTGCCTTAAATTTCACGATACCACGGTTTGTGGCACCAACAGTTTTAAGCACTTGTGATATTTCAGGGTTTAAATACAGATTATATTTCTCTTAAAAATTATTTTTATAATGTATTAAGTTGTAGAATCTTATCAGGCTTCTTCAATCCAGTGCTGAATTACAAACTCTTAATCCCTATCCAGCATAGATTACTCCATTCAGTGGAATACATCTTGTACAGCTATTAAAATATCTGGTGAAACAAATGCATGGTGAAGAAGTGAGCCATATACACTGTTCTGAGTGTGCCTAATTCCTTAAAATTAATGATATATATTGATAATAGTATAATAAATAAGTGGAAATATATATATCTGGGAATTAGAACAAGTTTGTATCAAAACTGTATCACATCTATGGTACTGATTAAGAAAATTTTTATGCTGTGCAGTATGTCAATTACAAGTATGCTGTACTTATATAAGTGAAAAGAACTTATCCTCAGACAATTCACTTGTGACTGAATATAATAGGTATCAATTTTCAAAATTCTTAAATCTGGATCAGTTGATCTGAAGTGGTGAAAGTTGAATAGTTATTTTCACTGTTCTTTCTTTCTTTTTTTAAAGGTGTAATTGAAGCCACAGAGATTGTTCAGTCCCTGAAGATACTGGGTATAGATATTTCTGAAAAGCAGGCAGGCAAGATTCTGCAAAGGTCAGCAGCTATTATTATGCCTGGTTATTGGAGTGACTCATGAGAAGGCATGTCCCTTGAAAAATAAAATCACAAGCTGGATGTGTAGTAGGATGGTTTTGAATTATTATATTAGAAATGACATTGCTTTGAGGAAGACGCCAAGGATGGACCAGGATTTCTTGAGACAACTTGTGGGACAGGTTGACAAGCTTGAAACAATCTTGGAGATATTCCTGGTATCTGAGACACAACCCCTTTATCTTTAGATCTGTGAGACACAATCCTCTTCCTTAGCTTAAGGTAAAAGGAAGGGTGGGTGAGAGGCAATATTTACAGAACTAACCCATGATTGTGGATAATTTTGTAATTATTTCTTAGTTTGGCTGGAAGGCGTTTTCAACCTGTTTCCAAGAAAATGAATGGATGCGTCCATTCATATGTCCATAAATTCCAGGTGTGGAATTCAAAGATGACTTAAACATACTATATAGACTGAGTTTGCAGAAGATTTATTTGAATCACAATAAACCAGATAAAATCATTGTCTGGCTATTTTCACCCAAGATATTAACATGTTCCTTGTAAATATCTTGTTGCTTGTAAATATGTTTAATATTAAGTCAAAAACATATTTACAAGCAACAGTAGCTGTTTCATATAGCATAATCATTATATAAATCAAATCTAAGCGAGTAAAACTGTGTTTAACTCAGCCTTCCCATCCTACATATTGAACATTCATGGTTGGTAATACTTGCTAATGTGTGGCAATAACAATATATTCGGATTTTAGCATACAGTTCAACAGACTCTTCAGAGTCTTATTTAAACTGAACAGGAACATGATAGCATTGTACATAGTTTTCTGGAGACAAGTTTTCATATTAATGAGAAGCAAAAAGAAATGTTTCTTTTTTTTTCTTTCTCTCCCCCATCTTTTTGAAACATTCTTCTAATATTTATAGATGACAAGAAATTCTTGTCTATGAAATCTTGTATATGTTTATAGGAAACTTTCCTTAGAGTGATAAAGGGGACCATTCACAAGAAAAATATATTATGGTTTGGAGAAGATGGATTGATTACATTTAAAAGAGACATGAAACTGAAAAGTATTATCTTGCATATGAGTAGATTTTAGATAATTATTAATAATTTTAATTATATTATTATTTGAGTTTATAATTTGTTAACATTTGTTTTGAAAGTGTGTTATGGTTTTGATTGATAGTATAGTTGGTTAATGTTAGTTAGATTATGTTTGTTTATTTGTTATCCTGTAATCAGCTCTGGGAAGTGGGGGAGGGGGGATGGGGTGGGAGGGGTTTATATTGTATTAAATTTGTAAAACTTCTAATTTAAAAAAAAAAGAAATTCTTGCCTATGAAATCTTGTATATGTTTATAGGAAACTTTCCTTAGAGTGATAAGGGGGATCAAAAACAAACAGTGTTCTGCTCTGTAGAACCTTTAGAAGCCAAATAAAATACCAGATGGGAGTATCTTGCACATTAATCTAACATTAAAGATTGGCAAACAGAACAAGAGTTTAGAATGCGCATTATAATATACTTTGAACATGATTAAATAAAAAAAATAGCACACAATCCATTGTAAAATTCTGGTTATTTCCTGTTGAATTTTTAGCATGGATGCCGATGGGACAATGTCAGTGGACTGGAATGAATGGCGCGATCATTTTCTCTTTAATCCTGCTTCAGACATTCAAGGAATTGTCCGTTATTGGAAACATTCCACGGTGAGTATGGTTTGCATTTTTATCATAGTCCTGATCGGGATTATATCTAAATAACTTGTGCATTAGCTTATTCAGTGATTATGCTTGGCAGCTGTTTCTTTTTAAGTAAAAACTGAAATTCTTGACAGTCTTTAGCTAGCTAAGCAAACTGTTGCTCCAAAATTGGTTGAAAACTTTGTTCTTTGCCCCTTTTTAAAAACAAAGTACTTCACTTTAAGTTCCATTTAAATGTTGATTTAAATAGAAAACCAGTTTGGGATAGTGGTTTAGGACCCCAGGTTAAAACTTGGGAGGCCATGAATCCTAGGCCTGCCTTAGTCACAAAGCCAGCTGCATAAGTCTGGGTCAACTACTCTCTCTTAGGAAGATGGCAATAGCAAACAGTTTACAAAATTGTTTCCAAGAAAACTGCATAGACTTTTCAGGGTAGTCACCAGGATAATGACTTGAATCCCTCTCCAATTTAAGAAGAAAATGTTGACAAACACACTATTCCTGTAGATCATGTGTGGATTTCCTTCATATTTCTTTTGGCAGACTTCACGCTTGAAAAAAATCTACAATTCTTGAAGTCCTGATAAATTGAAAATGCTGATTAAAAGTTAGTGGTTATTATAATCACTAACCAAATATAAACAGTCAGACAGCATAATGGAATGATTTGGATGAGACAGTAGAATAATTTTGCTTCTTGATGGTTGTTCAGCTGCGCACTGTTGAACAGCTGATGGTCATGCAGGGGTGCAGGTATGATCAAAAGCAGCAGATTTTGTAGTAGAAACGGTTTCTGGTCTGCAGCCTTCAGGAATGATAAATACTTGTAAGAGAGTCCTGAAAAGTAAATATAGCTCTCCATTCTTGATGTAAGAGTTGGTGATTTCTTGATTTCCAGAGTAAAATTCACAAGTAAAACAAAGTTTATTCAGCTTCATTGCATTCAGAAAAACGTGTCTTTGATTTTTCTTTCTTTCTAGAGTTAGAATTCTTGCTTTGACATCCATTTGCATCTTGACTGGGAAAGGCATCTAAAATGTGGATGAAATCTGAAGCAGGGAGAGGATTGATATCTGAAATGGATAGACTTAAATATAATCCTCGATACGGCCATTTGTTCAGCAACTATTCAAAGTTATGACAGTGCTGAGCAACTCATGGTTATGGCTGGTCCTCAAAATTCTGGCTGTCCTAGTACCCTTAGAGCAGACATGTCAAACACAAGGCCCGGGGGCCTGCAAAATGGTTTCATGTGGCCCGCAAAGCCATCCTGGAAAATGTGAGGGAACGACCCCCACTGCCTTGGCCCTGGCCCAGGCCGGCAGGGAGCCAATGTACAATTTTGTGGTGGCCATCTATGCTGAAACACATTCAGTCTTAGCTCCACAAGGCCGTCTAGAAACAGCGAGGAACCGGCCCTGCTGTGTTGGCCTTGCCCCCTGGGGGCATGCTGGGGAGGTGTCACCCTTTGTGAGGAAAGAAGAAATGGACCATGCCTTGGCGCTTGCCCCAGTCCCACCCCCTTCTGCCAGAGACCCTCAGATCTGTCCCATTCCTGCCCAGGTCCCCACAGGCACCCTTGACGCGAACGATGTAGAGCTGGCCATGCCCACCCAGTAGGCCACACCCACTCCATCCATGCCCATCCAGTAGGCCGCACCCACCCTGGCCGCACCCACCCGGCTCCCTGAGGGCAACCACAAAGCTGATGCAGCCCTCAATGAAATTGAGTTTGACACCCCTGCCTTAGAGTCACGTGATCGTGATCTGCATGCTTGTCATCTGGTTCACTCTTATGACCAGTTGCAGAGTCTCTCAATCATGTGATTATCATTTGTAACCGTTTCTGCTAATTTCCCCAGCAATTCAGTGGTGAAACTGACAGGGAAGGTCACAAGTCACTGGGGTAATTTCCGCTAGCCCAACTGTCGCTATAATTTGAGGACTACCAGTTATTAAATAAAAGTTTTAAATAATTAAATACTGGTCTCTGGTCTTTGACTGTAATAAACTTAAACTTAGTACTTAAATACAATTTGTATACATTTGCTTAAATATATTTTTAAATTATATATTGTCAATCATTGCTTCAGTTTACCTTTTTTGCTGACCTGCTGAGTGAAATAATGAAAACAAAAAAATATAGCAACCCTGGATAGTGAGATGAGTTTGCAGGTAAGTTTAATAAAATAAAATAATAAATAATAAAATAAAATAAAAAATAAAGTAAAATAAAATAATAAAATAAAATATAAAATAAAATAAATAAAATAAAATAATAATAAAATAATAAAATAATATAAAATAAAATAAAAAGCAAGCTCCATGTCTTCATGGACCCATGAGAGAAGGTCTGCCTGTTAAATCTAAATGTCTGCTAAATTAAGGATTTATCTGTCAATCCTAATACCAGTAACAATAGTTAGGAGAAATCCAGAAAATATTGCTCCCTATCTCCTGTCCACCTTCCACATTTCCCTATAGGCCACCTACCTCTCATTTTGTCCAGTGTCTTATTTCTATCTCTTGCTGGGAAATTCTGTTTTTGGGTACTGGGGGTAGGTATGATGTTGGTTTTATGGTTATTTTGTTTTATTGTATCCTTGTGAGCTGCCCAGAACCATGGTATATAAGATAGTTGGTCATATAATTCAAAATAAATAAATAAATAAATAAGAGAATGTGGATTCACATTTTAACATATAAATTTGCCAGGGTTCAGTTTGGGTAAAAAAAAATGTCCTCTAACCCTGAAGTTTTCTTGTTTGAATATATATTAAAGAGTTATCTAAATATCCCTTATGGTACTTCTTGCTTTGGTAACTTGAAGTTGTATATGAAGAATACATAATATTGATTGAAGGTTTTTTTTAAAAAAAAGCTAGGATAAAGTAATAGATCATTGGCTTAATAATACTTTTCAAAGGTTAATCTTAGTCTTTCTTAAAAAATAGCTGCAAAGACATTCTTTATAGTGATACAGTAAGATTTTCCCAGGGATGTTAAGTGCTTTTTAGATGATGTCTTTATTACAGCCGTACTCAATTCAAAATTTTTAAATTAATTGTATTTACAATGGTAGAATTGTCAAAAAGATGGATTGTAGAATGTATCATGTGTTTTCAATTTTTAGCTGAATGTAATTATGTTTTGTCACCATCAATATCTTTTTTGAAATAAAGGCGGATGGAATTTAAGTCATTCATTCTCTTGCTTGCTCTTTCTCATTCTCTCTTTGGCACTTTAACAGGTATTAGATATTGGAGATAGTTTAACTATTCCTGATGAATTCACTGAAGAAGAGAAGAAGACTGGCCAGTGGTGGAAGCAGCTTTTGTCAGGTGGAGTTGCTGGGGCCGTGTCTCGAACAGGCACAGCACCTCTTGATCGTCTCAAAGTTATGATGCAGGTGGGCCTCTTAAAACAAACCATCTGAGGTCCTTCTTTAGACATCTTAAAAAGTTTGGATGCAGGCAATCAGAAGAGCGGTTTGTATGTATCTTGTCATATCAGAAATAGTTTGCTCCACAGATGGATGGACTTAGAATTGATCTACTTTGCTTATCAAAATCCTGAGATTTGTCTGACATACTCGGAATTAGGGAATCAGAACCTATAGCATTGTTTTTAGCGTCAGGACTGAACGTGGCTCCCAGAACTATTGCACAAAAGTCCATTCCATTTGCTCACTCGAGGTTTCTTAATTTCAGCAATAATATTTAAGACTAGTGGTGGGGGGAGGAAAATTATCTTGATGCTATTGTTAGTCAGAAACCCTCACTAATATTCAATAGTTCACCTAGATATTTTTAATAGATTTTCTTTCAGCCCACTTTAATTTCGGCAGCCAATGGCCAGATGACAGATGGAATGGTAGATTAAAAAGGTTCATAGTCAAAGAAGACCAAACATGGAAAACTGAGGTGGTAGTTCTCTCCAGTAAACAAACCTCCCTTGGCTGCCAGAATAATTGCCTCAAAGAGAAGATGTAGAATAGAGGTCCCTAACCTTTTGGGCACCAGGGACCGGTTCCGTGGTGAAAGGTTTTTCCACGGACCAGAGAGTGTGTGGTTTTGTGTGCTACCTGTATCTTGCAAATGGAACTTCGCTTGTTGGTGCAGACCAGTTGCTGGCATGCGGTACTGGTCCACAGACCGGGAGTTGGGGACCCCTGCTATAGAGAATTAAGACATGTTGGGGAGAGTGGAAGAAGGTATCTATAGTCTGCACTCTTCCCTTCCACCTCTATGTGTCCTCGACTTACACCAGTTCCTTTGGAGACCGTTCGAAGTTACAACCGCACTGAAAAAGTGATATATGAATTGTTTTTCATACTTACAACCACTGCAGCATCCCCTTGGTTGCATGATCAAAATTCAGACTCTTGGCAACTAATTCACATTTATGACCGTTGTAGTGTCCCAGAATCATGTGATCGTGGGGAAGCCAGATTCACTTAACAACCATGTTGCTAACTTAATAACTGCTGTGCCACAAGTAAGGTCATAAAATGAGGCAAAAATCACTTAACAATGTCTCACTTAGCAACAGAAATTTTTGGGCTCCATTGTGGTCGTAAGTTGAGGACTATCTGTACAGAAGTTTCATGCTTAAGCACTTGAAGCTGCCACATTTATGCTCAGTAAGGAAATCGGTATCGGAAGAGAGAGAGTTGAATAAAAATAAGAGGGTTAGATATCCGCTCAGATGTTGCTTTTTTTCTTTTCCCATTTAGCCTAAAGAAGGAAAGGGAATAACACCACACTTCTGTATTTTTAATGGCTAGGTGGGAGCCTTGACAAACAGATTTTGTCGTTTGTCACAAAAGAAACACAAAATCTGAATCTTCAGTTGTGTGTGTCAGATGTCTTGAGATCAGGCACTATACCTAGTGCATAATCTGGAATGGTTCCAATTCCTTTCTTGAAAGATCTACGTACTTTATGCTTCTCTCGAAGGATAAAAGGGATGATTATGATTCAGCATGTTTTCTATATATGTCAGTTGATTATGTTTCCTTTTCCTTGTAGGTTCATGGCTCGAAGGGGAAAATGAACATAGCTGGTGGCCTGAAGCAAATGGTGAAAGAAGGAGGAGTCCGTTCCCTTTGGAGGGGAAATGGTGTGAATGTTGTCAAAATTGCACCTGAAACAGCCATCAAGTTCTGGGCCTATGAACGGGTAAGGTGTTAAAAACATAGGAAACTCTGATAAACTCCTCCTTTTGTATAAGACTGACATTCACTGAACACTATAGGTAGTCCTTGACTTACGACCACAATTGGCCCCAAAATCTCTGTTGCTAAGCATGACAGTTGTGAAATTTTGTCCCATTTCACAACCTTTCTTGCCACAGCTGTTAAGCCCATCACTGCAGTTGTTAAGTTAGTAACAAGGTTGTTAAGTGAATCTGGCTTCCCCATTGGCTTTGTTTGTCAGAAGATCACAAAAGGTGATCACACGATCCTGGGACGCTGCAACCGTCATAAATACATGCCAATTGCTAAGCATCTGATTTTTGATCATGTGACCACGGGGACCCTGCAGTGATTGTAAGTGTGGAAACTGGTCATAAGTCACTTTTTTCAGTGCTGCTGTCCAGTCTCCTCTTAAAAACCTCCAATACTGGAGCACCCACAATTTCTGGAGGCAAGTTGTTCCATTGATTAATTGTTCTAACTCTCAGGAAATTTCTCCTTAGTTCTAGGTTGCTTCTCTCTTTGATTAGTTTCCATCCATTGCTTCTTGTCCTGCCTTCAGGGGCTTTGGAGAATAGGTTGACCCCCACTTTCTTGTGGCAACCCCTTAGGTATTAGAACGTTATTACGGGCAGGGACTAGATAATACTCAAATTAATAATAAAACAGAAAAACACCGTGATAAAAGCAAACTAATAGCAACAAAACTAAAGCAAAGCAGCCAACTCTGTACAAATTATATGAGTAATAAAATTTATATCTCACTGCTGCAAAAAGTTATATTTGTTTCTGAGAGCTAGAGGTGAATGATATCCAAGGGATAGAAATTCAGTAATGGTGGAGCAGGTTAAGGAAAGCTTTGCTATATATTCTTTGTTTGGCCCATCATTAATGTCATCATGGGAATTATGCTTATCAATTTTGACCATGAAAGACTAACCTCACCATGGATATTTATATCAATATTTGATGTATGAATAGAGCTACTAAATTGGGTAGCCTGGAGCTGATCACATGGTGCAAGAACCTACTGACTAAAATTATTGGCGTTGAAATGTACACATATAGAGTTTGTGCACATACCAGGGCAGAATTATTAGTAGTAGTTCTGGGGTCTAGAATTAATGTGCTTTTTTTTTGTATCTTGATACTACTTAGTATAAGAAAATGTTTGTTAATGAAGAAGGAAAAATAGGAACTATTGAACGATTTATATCTGGTTCTATGGCTGGAGCAACCGCACAGACATCTATTTATCCTATGGAGGTAGGTATTGGATAATATCATCTTTTTTTTTAATAATGCCCTATTTTATTTTCCTCCCTCCCTCCCTCAGTATGATAATCTGATATTAAATTATATTTACTCTAAAAATCACTTAAGCTAAGGAGAGTTCCATTTTAAAGCATTTTGTATCAAGCATACATTTTGCATGTGCAGAAGACCAAGTTAAATCTCTCTTCTAGTTTCATTTAAAACATCAAAGTCTCAGATATCTTTATCTGTTGTTAAATGATTTAAGGCCACAATAGAATTATTAGATACTCCAAGTGAATTAGAGTTGCCCACATCAGCTCATCTTTGCTGAGAACTATGGCATGTATATTTAAAGGACTTTAATCTAATGCGAATCTCCCAAGTTATGCACAAAAACTATAACCCTATTTCTACAGAGCAATGTACGTGTTCTTATTTAAAAATGTACAATGATAGGGATATCAGCCAAAATTAATTGATACAAAAGGAAATGATTTAGCTCTAGAGTGATTTACATGTCCTTAAGTCTTGTCTGGGCCATACATTTCTTTTTAAACTCCTTTTTTCATATGTTAACACATCTGTAAATATGACCGATACTCTGGATCTGTGTTAAAGACTAACTTGTGATATAATATTTAATTGTATTGTCTTCTGAACTGTTTCTGCTCAATGCTATTTCTTTAGGTATTAAAAACAAGACTGGCAGTGGGTAAAACAGGTCAATATTCAGGAATGTTTGACTGTGCTAAGAAAATTTTAAAAACGGAAGGGGTGAAAGCCTTTTACAAAGGTTATATTCCTAATATTTTGGGAATAATTCCATATGCTGGCATCGATTTGGCTATTTATGAGGTGAGTTGGCATATTCCATAATAATGCAATGAAAAACAAATAATGTTTTGTGGATAAAGTATTTGATTCAACCCAGAATGTAGACTCAACATTTCTGTATCTTTGATGCCACTGGTTGCACACTGCACCAATTTATATGGGCAGATCAGCTTTCATGACTTTCCCTTAAAACATTAAGGTAGGTAATAGAGCGAGAAGGAGTAACTGGGAAAACACGGAGGAAACGAATGGCCAAAAAGGGGGGGGGAAGGAATATGCTGAACCCAGGAGCCTGTAGCAAGGAGATAGATAACAATACACGCATGAAGAAGGAGAGTGGACGAAACAGAGCAAGTAACGGAGCGGCAGCATCAATCAACATCAAGAATATAACCAAGACGCAGCCCAATCAAGTAGAACCGATGACGAGATCCAGGAGCCGTGTGCATAAACTGACTAGCACTATAAAGGAGACTCCCATCGACCGGTTTTAAGCCCTGATGATGTTGGCAGTTGGTCGACGGAAGCTTGGCATTAGATTAAACGTTTCTAGTTTTAAATTTTTCCTGGTGTTCATGTTTGCTTGTTTTTATAATATGATTATACCCAGGATTCATGTTTTTAACAAAATTAGTAATAAGGTAGGTAATATATATAGGGAAATTGTAAGCTTGTATGATAATTCTGAAGCTTTCTAATGCTACAGGATTATCAATTATATTGTGAAGATGCTGTTAAATCTTGATTGTTTAGTCAAATCTTACTTTCTATTACTAAAACTGGTATAGAACACAAGTTTAGGAGACACCTTAGGAGCACACGTGACACAGTTGTTACACAAGCTGCACTGGCTGTCAGTTTGCTTCTGGCCATTGTCTTTAAAGGCCTTTATGGCATGGGTCCAGAGTATCTGAAGAACTGTCTCACTCTGATGGACTAATCTGCCTTACTTGTTCCACTGAAAAGTATCTACTTTGGGCCCTGTTGGCCAAAGAATTTCAACTGGTGAGGTCCAGAAGCATAGCATTTTCTGCTTTGGGTCCCGTCTTCTGGAATATTCTTCCATCAAATGTGATGTCTGCTGTCACACTCTTGGCTTTTCAGAATAATCTAAAAATGTGGCTCTGCCATTTGGCCTGGAGCACTGACAGGAGCCCACCACATTGGGGATGGCTGACAGGTTAGAAAAAAATTCTCGCCCCAGGCCATTCATCGTCTTGGTTTTTAACATTTAACTTCTTTATTTAATTTTAATTTTTTTAGTACTTTTCAAATTTTTATTATATTTGAAACTGCCCAGAGTTGCTTCAGTGAGATGGACAGCATAGGAATTTAATAAATAAATAGTAATTTTATGCTAGAATGGCTACTTATTTAAAATGTTAAGAGTTTTATTAGTGTGGTTACTACTTATCTTTTTAAATTCTCATGTTTGGCTAAGCCATTCTTCATTTTAACCATGATTTGTTGATTAAAGGACTGGCTTTACACATTGATCTCAAACATAAAACGTAGCTTAGGATATTAAACCAAAACCAATAAGCTCTATTATAACTTGCACTGCCCTCTGAACAAATTGGAGGAAAGAAGACATATTAATGAAGTAGTGATCAATGATAATAGGAATTATCATTTACATAATTTAATTTGTAGTAGCTTAATGAATACTTAACAGAGCAGTCACAAAATAAATCTTTGTAATGCTGCAATGAAGCATGGCCGGCTATGAGAAAATCCAATTTGGGGTTTACAGGGATAAGTCCTTGACTTGTTAGTTGGGACTGCAATTTTCATCATAAGTTGGTGCGGTCATAAAGTGAGGTGTTACATGACTGCACTGCACTGTCTTATGATGACAATCTCAGCTCTCCCCATTGCAGTTGTTACCTGTGAATCATGTGTTGTTAAGCAAGCTCCCACCCCAAGCCAAGCCATTCTAGGTTTGGTCCCTCCCAATCCTGAGTCTCAGTGAATAAGGAACTGCATTGGACTCCCTCCAATTGACTACCTCTTCCTCATCTCTGTCCTTTGGGACCCATTGCACCTTGCCTTGCACTGTACTGTGGCTGCTTGCCACCCCCTGGGAAACATCAACAAGCATTCAATTTCTGAAGTGCCTTCTCTCCTCAGCCCATGTGTGGCTCTCCAGCCCATCCCAGCAAACAAGCATTCTTTTGCTCTCCAGCAAGTACCAGCAAGCATTCATTCACCCAGTGCGCTGGAACACAACAGCAGGAAGGAAGGGCTCCCTGGTGTGAGAAGTTAAAAGATATGTCAGTCTGTCCTCTAGATTCCCATATGAGGTCAAACACTTAGGTTGATATCTGACTTTCTCAGGGGAAAGCAAGCAATTGGGTTGAGATTCTAGTGTACAGTGGAGTCAACAATAAAGGAATCTCTTGACCTAAGTCCCAGAGCCACATTTATTTATTTATTAGTAAAATTTATATGCCGCCCAATCCCTAGGGACTCAGGGTTATTTATTTATTTATTTATTTATTAGTAAAATTTATATGCCGCCCAATCCCTAGGGACTCAGGGCGGCGTAACACTTTCATTGTTTGCACCTGAAACTCAGCTGCCTTCTCTCCCACTTCTGTGCACCAAACTTTCATTTTTTTTTGTACTCAGCTTCTTGCTGCCTTTGCTGTCTCCTTTTCAAGCCCAGCTTTTCTGGAAGAAGTTTCCTACACGTGGCTAGAGCTGCAGTTTCTGAAGATAGCACAGGCTTTAGCCACTTTGGAAAAGGCTCCACTCCCCCACCTCACCCCCCCCCCAGTTTCCCAAAAGTCTAAAACTGCATTGAATTTGGAAAGTAATGCATGGTATTTTTTTTTTTAAAAAAACTTGTTTTGATGTAAAACGGGTGTCAAACTCACGATGTCACATGATATCTCGCAATGTATCGGCCCGATTTTGCCATTGCCGACAATGGGGTGGGCGCAGCTTCCAGATGACGTGTCTGGCCTGCGGGCCGGCAGTTTGACACCTCTGATGTAAAAGAACAAAGTACAATAACTATAATTATGAAATAAATCCTTCCGAATTCAGGGCATAAGAGAAAAATATTTGTGTCAATGGAAGAGCATAGAAGTTCAGGAAGGTGTTGAATGTTTAATGTAAGTCAGAATAACAGTTTATTATTATACCTGAATTGTTAACACAGCTGTCTTTCTGAATTTCATGCTTTTTACCTAGCTTCACAGCTGCTATAGTTTACACCAGTGTTTCCCAAACTTGACAATTTTAAGGCATGAGGACTTCAACTCCCAGAATTCCACAGCCAGCGTTGCTGTGGAATTCTGGGAGTTGAAGTCCTCATGCCTTAAAATTGTCAAGTTTGGGAAACACTGGTTTACACTGTAGTTTCTGCTAATGGTTGCAGGTTATTAATCTTCATGTACTTAAGCATGTTTCATGCTGAAATAATGTTCTACCTCTACTTGGCAGCATTTGCTACCTGTCAGCCATTTATTGTGTTCCTGGCAATTAGCTGAGCTGATGCTTTCTTGTTCTATAATGCCCCACTTAAACCTAATTCATTCCCATTCTATATGAAGTGATTTTACAAATGACAATTATCATTTGTAGTGCATCTCCATCTCTTAGTGAGCTTCATGTTTACACCAGCCAACACTTGCATAGGTTATACCCAAGTCTTTTATTCAGAGATGGAAGTTTGAAGGTGGAGTCACTGGTGGTCATGATTATGCAAAGCCCAGTTTCATTTTGGTGCAAACAGATTTTGTAAAAAAACAGCAGGTTTCTGACACTTAATTAGGCCCAGCCATAGAGAGGCTGGGAGGACTTACTTGTTTATGAAAGAGGAAGACAGATGAGTGTGCTGATAGGAATTGTGATAGTGTTCCTATCAGTGTAGTGAGTGCTAGTCAAGAGGCACTTAAAACTTCTTCCATTCCTATTTGCAGGTTTTTGTAATTTTATTGATTTAAAGTGCTTGAACACTTCAGAACACTTAGGGAAAAATAAATATGTAAGTAATATGAATGTAAATCATTGGAAGTGAACTTTTCAAAATTACTTTCTGTTCTCTTCTAAGACTGCCATTTCTCCTCATCATGTTGTCAGACTTGGAGAATGGCAGCCAGGGGGAGAAATAAATTCAGCCCTTATTACAACATAGCTAGTCCCACTGTAGCCAAGGGAAAGTTGTTTTATCTCTCCCAAGTAGAGTCTGCTGTCCATCCAAGTTGCTTAGAGCAGAAATGAAAAGAAGAATGCACTCAGTAAGACCTTGGCTTATGAGGCATTGGATCCTGGCTTTCTTGCCCCTCAGTCAGCCTTCCTCAACTTGGCATATTCCCAAACTGAAAATAGACACTGTCTATAATGGCCAAGTTCTGGAAGCTGCAGTATCAATATTGCTGAAGAATGCAGATTCTCTTAAGTATGTTTCTCTAAGCATCGTTATTCTGTGACTTACAGATGTGTTGTGAAAATTTATAAAATAATTCAGTCTTGCACACAGTCCTCCAGACAACTCAATCAGCCATGTGGCCAGATCTTTTGACATACCAGTTACTAGTCAGTCTCATCTGAGGGTATTGTCTTGGGCTGTTTGGTTCCTCAACAACGATCTCCTGGTCATCCTGCTCTTGTTGAGTCATGTTCTCAGCTGGTGGCTGGCAGTGGAAGCTGAAATCCTGAGCTTCTCCAGTTCTCCTGCTTCAAGCCAACCTATGGTGGTGACCTCCAGTTATAATTCCAGTAGACATGTCACTCTACCAGAGACACTATGGCAATGGGGAGAAGAAGATCAAAGCTCTGCTTGTAGAATAAAATGTTTCTGCACTTCAGCCCAGACCCAAATCATCCATATAAAGCTACATTATGATATGGTGGCCATATTGTCAGTCAGTTTTTTGTATTGCATGAGCAATAGGTTGTGAGTAAACAATACAAGGTCAAATATTGAAGTAGGCAGCATATTAAACTTACGTAGAGATTTAATAAGCTTCATCCCAAACACTGACGAGATATACCATATATGCAAACTCATAAATTCCATTATGATTTAAAATGTATTAAAATGTATGTAAAGATAACATGTATTCAGCTTAAGGGTAAATAAAATGTATTATTGAATATCTATTTTTTCTGCATTGTTTTCTATTATGTTTAGAGAAATAGTCATGGGTGATGTTCTGCAGTTTTGAAGAGTCAAACACTTCTCTAATTTCACTATTTATTTAAGTCATCAAAGGGATTTTTCTAAGACTTGCTGGGCAGATCATTGAAAACTGAGGATGAGGCTACTATGCCAGTTCAAAATCACAAGCTGGTGCTTTGCACACCAATTATGTTTGTGGAAAAAAATGGAGAATTAGTATAATGAACTGTCACAAAGAGTTGTCAGATGGAAGTTGCTATTTTATTTCTATCATAACCTCCTTAGGCAGCCCTTGAGCTGCAATGTGATCTAGATGAAGTGCTTAGCATAATACATATGTGAATCAGCTGATAAATGTCACTCAGTTTCCAAGTTTATAAGAGTAGTGGAGAGATGAAGGGAAACAAGCATTTATCTCAAATGAAGAAAAAAAAATCACTTTCAAAATATATGATCAGTATTCTAGCTTGTTCAACATGTTTTCGAAGGTTCCAACTCTTATCCCATTTTCAGAAGGTCTCATAAAAATGTAGCCACATCCTTTGATGGGTTTAAAACTAGATATGAACTAACTAAATCAATATATTTCTGACAGGCATTGAAAAAAACTTGGTTAGAAAAATATGCCACCGACTCTGCCAACCCTGGTGTATTAGTATTGCTTGGATGTGGTACTTTATCCAGTACTTGTGGCCAGTTATCCAGTTATCCACTTGCCCTTATCCGAACTCGAATGCAAGCTCAAGGTGAGTGTTGAATTTATGTTACCGTGCCTGTGTAGAAGAGATAACTTGAGGGATGAATATTTAAAGATACTGTTGATCATTAAGAGCTTGGCTACCCTTTTTCTTCTGGAATTTATGTACCTAGCCTTCTACCATCAGTGATCACTTTTTTAAAAGTTACATTATGTCTTTAAAGTCTGCCCAATATTTTGATCTCCCTCAGTGCAAGTTGAGGTAGCAAACCTCTGTATGGAGTTTTCTTTATTTTGCTTCAAGATGTTTTGCTTCTCATCCAAGAAGCTTCTTCAGTTCTCAGAATTGAAGAAGCTTCTTGGCTGAGAAGCGAAACGTCCTCAAAGAAAACAAAGTCCAGTTTCCTTTTGGAAAAGCACCTTTGGGAAAAACTTATCTGGATGACTGAGAATCTCCACTGACATTTTGGGAGAATAGATATTACTCATAATGCTTACTGATACATAGATTAATTTCAATACACACTTTTTTTTATCCAAATGGAGAAGGATCTGATAATGGAGGTTTCATCTAAAATGATGGAGTTGAGACACAGGTTTCCACTTCCGCCAAAAGTAAATCTTTGCCCAATTGTATCAGTAATGATAAAAAAAGTTTGCTGACCGGTAGAAGCCTGGTTAGCATAAAAGGTTGTTCTAGAATAATCTTTGTTCTACCTGTTTAACCCATAGGACCATCTTTTGCTTTGTATCTTGTTGGGGGAACAAATAACATGCGGTTATTACAGGATATGAGACATTTTTGAACCTATTCTTTTCTATTTTCTGGGAGGCAAAGGGACAGCATTCTAAATGTTACAGAAACTTAAGAGATCCATTTTACCACTTTCCCTCACATAAAAGAAAAGGGTCTGAATATTCTAGTCTCAGCCATTCTGCCGGAACTTTGCAATTACAAAGTACACTGAAAGTCCTGCATGTAGACTATAGGGTTGAAAAGCTGAAATATGGGAGAAATATGTTTGTGGGTATGCATGCAGAAAATTAGTTTTGTAGACATAATACAGAGGGAAATAATGTATTTCTTGACAGGGAAACACAACTAAGTATGCATGTCAGATTTCTTCTATTTATTAAGACAGCTTGAATAATATATATTTTTTTCCTTTTTAATTTTCTGTAGCGATGGTAGAAAGTGGCCCTCAGCTAAACATGGTTGGCCTTTTCCGAAAAATTATTGCCAAAGAAGGAATCCTTGGACTATACAGAGGCATAGCCCCAAACTTCATGAAGGTGCTTCCTGCTGTCAGCATCAGTTATGTGGTATATGAAAAGATGAAGGAAAACTTGGGAATAGCATGAAAGAAAGATTATCCACATGAGAGACTTTCAAGGAATATTCACCCAGATAAATCCTGGAGGCTAAATTCATGTTTACAGTTAGCTACAGTTCCTCTATGCAAAAATTCTACAAGTCTTAACTTTATAAAGCCTTGATGGAGTAAAAAAAAAAAAGTATTTTCTGAAAACAGCTAGGTAATGAAAAAAAAAGTCAAAAACTATTTCATTGCTCATGTGGCTGCTTTTTGGAAAAGTTTGAGGATGTCACAATTATTTCCCCAGCTTATATATTATTGGGTTAAAGCTATGTCATAACTCTGTTATGACCATTTGCATTTGATTATCTAGTGGGCAATTTATGAGCATTCTGAACACCCAATATTAATTTGCAGTCATCTTTTGCAATATGGTAATCATTCTACTTTTTTTTGTTAAGCTTTTGTAAAAAAAAAAACCCTCAGAAAAATAATTCAGAAAGTCGTAAAACGTCACTCTGAAATTTTTGATAATTTGTTCAGTTCTCCTTATAACAAATTAACAGAAAGAGCTTGAAGTGAAATGAATGTATTTGTATCATTATTAGTCATTTATATAGAACATACCTAGGTGGGATCTGATCTTTCAACATTAATCTTGGAAAATTGATGAGGATAGGAACCAATCTAGACATGCGTGGAACTGACATATTAAAGTGAAAGTTATTGCTATTTACAAAAGATTATAATAATTGATAGTTTGTATGCGTATTCAACATCCTATTCCTACTTTATAGGAATGGAAGGATCAAGGCGTACGTTTAACTTAACAAGTATTTGTATCCTTCAGATAATTATCTAATTTGTTTAAAAGCTAAAACAGGTGAAAAGTTTCTTAAATTTCTCCCTTTTGCATCCACCATCTTCCACAGTCACTTATCAAAATGCATGCTTTTAAATGCTAATGAGTTCCTTAGCTAGGCTTGCCTTCTCTTCCAAGAGAGAAAATTCTTGTTCGTTCTTTTACTACCCAAAGGAAGTGGCTTTCTTTTCTAACTCAGATTTGATTCCTTTTCAGACAACCTCTCCTACCAGCTGCTTCTCTTACAAAACTTAGGTTGGTATTGGGCCATCGCTATGCGTTCCAACTATTGGAGTACCACCTCCGTTATTACCTCCAACTGTGGTACTCCAACAGTTGGAACGCATAGCGATGGCCCAATACCAACCTAAGTTTTGGGCCCATTATGTGGACAACATGTTTAAGGTCATCAAGAAGCACCAAAAGACTAACTTTATGGGCATACTTAATTCGGTATACCCAGATATCCAGTTTACTATGGAGGAGGAAAATCAGGGTTTGCTGGCATTTTTGGAAGTGTTGGTCCATCGCCAGCCGGATGGAACCCTAGATACTAGGGTATACCAAAAACCAACTAGCACAGATAGAATCCTCCATTATGGAAGTAACCATCCGGTAGCCCATAAAGTTAGTTGTATTAGAACCCTATTTAAACGGGTAGATTCCCACTGTAGTACAGTTAGAGCAAAAATGGAGGAAAGAAATCACCTCTTCCGCATATGCAGGCGCAATGGATACCTGACAAGGTTCTTCAGACGTCACAGCATACCACCTGAATCCCGGAGGAATCCACGAATAGATGAGCCGGCATCACAAGTGACACTTGTCACCCTCCCCTATATCTGCAATGTGTCTGAGGCAACGGTTAGATTACTAGCACCACACAATGCGAAGGTAGCCCATAGGCCTAACCAGACGCTATGTGCTGCAACCAAAGACCCATTCCCCAACATGGAGAAATCGGCAGTTGTGTACAGGATTGACTGTAGGGACTGCCCTGGTAACTATGTTGGGGAGACCTCCAAGAGGTAAAAACCAGGGTCCATGAACACAAATTAGCAATAAAAAGGGGCGAACAATATTCCCAGATTTGAGCATATATGGCAGAATCCGGTCATCGATTTGACTTTGATAAAGTACGCATTCTGGCCAGTGACAGTACGAAAGGGGGCTGCCTGCTCAAGGAAGCGTGGCTATCTAACAAGGACTCAGTTAACCGGCACATTGATCTTTGTCCGGCACATCTGATGCTAAGAGCATGGAGTATGGACAATCCCCCACCCCGTTGGAGGCAGTCCAGCAATATATCGAATATAACAGCAGAGAGGACCATGGAGGAGGCATCCTCTCCCCAACAACTTATGGGCATCCGGGCAAAGTGTGAACAGCGTTTGAGAGACCTTCCTGCCCCCAGAGCGGGTATGCATTCTCGGAGGATCGGGAAAACGACGAGAGATGCAGGAGTGGCAACCTGTACACCAGGAACTCCTGCACACCTCCCGAGATACCCAGAAAGAGTGACATCCCCCAATGGGGAGGCTAGTACCAGGACTGGACTGGTGGACACCCTTGGCTGGAATTTCTGTCCCCCAATTATGCTCGAGAGAGAGGAGGATGGCCTTGCCGACCCGCCCGATGGCGGCAACTCTATCGCCTCACTCCGTAGCACCGGTTCGGTTGCGTCAGCGGGAAATGCAGAACGATTCCCGAGACAATGCACGAGCGGGGGGGGGGCAAGAATGGAAGGGGAGCGGTGAGGATCGGGGTTTCTGGCTGCCGCATAGAGGACATTCGGGATGGCCTGATTGAAGCCGGGATACAGGGGCATGGGATCAGAGACGATGAGAGGGGACGATTTAGAACGATGGTCACCCGATCACACTCAGGAGAAGGGAGGATGTCCTTGCCGATACATTTAATAGCGATGGCCCGCCCACCCCGCCTTGCAGCGGGGTCCGACCATGCCAGGGATAAAACGAAATAGCTCTTGAGACAACAACACATGAGCAAAGGACATCAAGGACGGGGTGGGAGGAATGGTGAAAACTGGACAGGATAACATTTACGGAGACCACAACTGTGTGGGTGGGATTTGTGAAGAAAAAGAAAAAAGGGGAGAGTGCACTACATCTAGACAATCTGAGTGGGGCAAGGGAGGAGATGATAGGAACACACAATTGAATAATATAAGGGGTCTGGTCAAACAAAAAAGGGGAAATACCCCGCCTGACTCCGAACTCAGCAAAGGGAAGATATACGATGTCACACGCACAGACAAGAGAGGCAGGAAAAGAACAACCGCTGATATAAGAACTGCGACCGGAACACAGCTTACTCAATCAGGTCCGATGACGAGGTCCAGGAGCCGGGTGCAGACCTTAGTCAACCTATAAAAGGACTCTCCTACTGACTAGCATTTCAAGCCCTGATGTCGGCAGTTGCCGACGAAAGCTTGGCGTTTTTATTAAACTTTTGTAGTTTAGAATTTCCCTGATGTTCACGTTTATTTGTTTGTTTTGAATATGAATATACCCAGGGATCGTATTTTTAATGTTATTATATATATAAATTTTTCTTATGGCTTGTCTGGAGTTTTTTTTGCAGGTCAGAGCTGATTTCCTTGATGGAGATCTGTATTTCTTTAATAGTGTAATGGAGATTATTTATTGATAGATGGGAAGATCCACAAATATTCTTAATTCCCCAAATCAAGATAGAAATCAGTCTCAATGTTCAGTTTATTTTATCAAACAATCATATCAAATTATATCATAATATCAACATAATACAATAAAATATGATAAACTAAAATTATGTGAACTAAATAGCCATAAAGAATTATTATTAAATTTAGTAAAATGATTTTAAGTAACTGGAAATCAATCCAGAAGGTAATGATAGGCAACCAAAAATTGCACTGAAAAATCATGGCCAGCCTGTATTAACATCCTCTTCTCCAGCATATTTCAAAGACATTTGAAATGAAAGGCAGGAATTGCTGTGTGTTAAATAATTGTTTGCTTATTGCAATAAAGTAAGCTTGCTTTAATTACAGATATAACCACATCATAAAAGCAGATTCTTTTCTTGGCATTGCTTGTTTCTTTGAAATCTAGCTATTCCTTTTAGTTGATTAAAATTTTCTTCAAGAGTGGCACACAGAAGGACTTGAGTAAATGATTGCTTTGTTGCTCTTTGGAGTTTCTTATGCTACTACCTGGATACCCATTAAGAGTTTGAACTAAACTCTTAAATATACATTTGGGAGAGTATTGTGGGTTAGAACTTTTAGGCTATGACACGTGTATTGTTATCATAAAAAGAGGTATGTGATCATATCAACAGAAGTCTGCTGTAGCTATTGGGTATAGATGGTTTGGCTGTATGTGGCCATAACTGTTTGGGAGGATCTAATGTAAAATTTCCAAACAATTCACTTTACAAAAGAGTAAATCATAGTGCTTGTTTGTACTGTAAACATTTCAAACCAGTGCCTTCAGCAAACACTCCTTAATACTCCCTTTAAAACCATCTTGGAAAAATAAGGCATGGCCCCCTCATAATCATCTGTTAGTGCTGTGGATACATGGCAATGAGGCCTAGTGTGTTGTATGCAACACTTTTGAATGACAGCTTTTTAACACTGCCTCTTGTCATATAGAAAACCACACTTTATCAAAACCAAAGAATTGTTCCAAAATACACAGTATATAAAGTGTCTGACTTTTTTTAAAAGGAACAAAATATATACTATTGTAAAATTTTCTTTTTTATATAGCTTTCTAATTGTTTATTTAGAAAAATGCTTATTTGAAAAATAGAGTTGAAAAATGACATAAGCAGTACATGAAGCAGATTCATTCTGTTTTCTTGTATAAGTGCCCTTACTGATTTGGGTGATTTTGTTGTTAATTCTTCGGAGATGATGTAAGCTTGAGTAAGATTCCTTTTATCTTGTCCCTAAGCATCGTTAGTTTGTAATTATTATATGCTTCATCTGTTCCTTGGTGAAAGAGATGCTGATACTTTGAAAACTGTTTATAATAAATGGGTTTTATAACACAGTTGTATGTTCTTTTGTAAATTGTTGGATCTTTCGCTATCTTATTAACATTGATTCTGGTGGAACTCAATATCTACTTATTTTGGATAGTGTATTAGTCTCTCATTCAGGCACTGAACAAAATCACAGCTGTGCTTTCAGCTGAAATTTGGCAATTTCAATTTCTTTCAACCACATTTGATACCAATCTCTCTTTTCCCTGGAGAAGTTGTGAGAGGTTAGCCTACCTTCCACTTATGCAATAGTAACCATCATTTATTGTACTGGTGACAGAGAACATGAGTTTATTGTAAGGAGAGCTTTACATGACATAAGTTTATTACTAGGAAGCAAGCCTTCTGTATTATAATTTTATCATATTTCTGTATGTCAAAAGTTATTCTGCCGATTGCCAAAAGTTCAATTCTGACCGGCTCAAGGTTGCCTCGGCCTTCCATCCTTCCGAGGTCAGTAAAACAAGGGCTCAGATTGTTGGAGGCAATAGGCTGACTCTATAAAACGGTTAGAGAGGGCTGTAAAGCACTGTGAAGTGGTATGAAAAATCTAAGTGCTAGTGCTATTGAAAATTTTTAGAACTCACCTGTTGATGCTAAAAATGAAAACCTATTTACACACACAGCTAAAAAGGTCTAAGGTCATTAAATAATACAGGAACATGCATACTTAGGATTGTACCATTAGTGTTTATACAAACACAGCACTCAAACTGAAGTATTATCCAAAGCAATTGACATATAAATGGGCCGTCATGGACAAAATGCTCATTTTTCTTCAAAAGCATTGATTTTCAGTTTGGCCTACTCATATATTCAGCTGTCTACCAATACTGTATAGTGACCAAATGCAGGAAAAGTGTGAGTCTATGAAGGTAAGGAATTACAAGGATAGAAGTCCATTGCATCTGGAATAGAAGCAGACTCCTGCTGAAGAAAATTCCACAATAGCAGTTAATGCAGTTACATTGGATTACGTGTGTCAGTAATCAACACGGTGGCAGTTCATAGGCAGTTAAGTTGTAAATAAGAACTTAGAAAACAGCTAGCCCTGGGAAGTGCATGAATTGTTTTCAAGCCAATTACAAATAGTTCTTGACTAACAACCATAACTGGGATCCAGAAGTCATTCCTCCGTCGAAGCCTGAATCTGCGGAGGAAAGTGAGCTGGAACGGGACCCTATAGAGGTCGAGGGAAGAGTGTCTGTGGTTTCAGAGGAATGTGGGGAAGAGCAGGCTGAAGCAGGCCAGGTCCCTTCAGGATTGGGACAGGATGTACAGGAGAGAGAGTTCAGGCGATGAGCAAGGGCCACCCCCATCTGTTCCTAGAGCACGGAGAGTGGAGAGAAGGAGGGAACAACACAGGCAGGCTCAACTACTCGGGAGGCGAGCATCCCGCCCCTCTCCACAAGGCACAACTGGAGACTTGAGATTTAAGGAGATGCTGTGGGGAGAGGCATTTGTCAGGAAAAAATGCTAATTCCTTGGAGTTTTGTGTGTGTTGTTGCTGATCTCTTGTTCTGTGACTTCTGCTTGGAAACCCATTGGACTAGCTGACAACGTTTGGATGTTCAAAGATCTCAGACTGTATTTTGGCTTCCCTTTTGAAACTGCTCAGGCAAGCGTGTATTCACACAGACTCGTTAGGTGTATGATGTATGTGTCATTCCTTGTTATCTCCGTGGCCTTGAGTAAATTCCTCTCCTAATCAGACTCTATGTGAAACTACTTGCAGCCAGAGGTGGCTGAAGGTTTGTGTGTCGTCCTTTGTTTGGCGGCTTGCCAGAAACGTGGGAGCATTTGGGGAAAATTTGGAGCAATTAAAGGGTGGTTTGAATTCTCAGCTGATTGCACTGCCTCTGTGCTGTGCCCTGGGTCATCACACAGAACTTCCATAGCTATGCAAGCTGATTGTGAAGTGAATTGCACCCGATTATATGAACTCCCCCCCCCCCACGATTAAATGAATCAGCACAGTCAAGTCATTAAGCAAATCCAGCTTCCCCAATTGACTGCTTGTTGGAAGCTGCTGGGAAGTTTGCAAATGATCATCACATGATCCTGGGATGGGACAACCATCGTAAATCCATACTGGTTGCTAAGGACCTGAAATTTTGACCACAGGGACATCGCAATTGTTGTCAGTGCAAGGACCAGTTGTAAGTTACCGTTTTCAGCAGCATCCTAGCTAAACAAACAGTTGTAAGTCGAGGGCTACCTATATTGGTTTCACTAACTGGTGACCAAAGTTATTTGTACTGTATCCTTTACTTGTTCTAATGCACATTTTTTAAACTCAGAAGCTTAGTACTGCTCTCCAAGCATTATCTCAAAAGAAACACTGATTTGTGTAAATGTTTTTATTTTGTGTGCCCTGCATGGAAAATGCCAGGTCTTCTAGTAGTGAGTATATTTGGGTTGCAATGTCAGTACTACCCCCTGTTGGTCCATTATAGCAGCATCTCAACAAGACTAGCTCTTGAGTTCCACCTCTTGAATGCCTTCTGTCCAAAATCTGGCATGGCTGCGGTAACAGCTGTTGAATCCAAAGACCACAGCTTTTGAGGGTCATTCTAAGAAGCAAAAAGCAGCAGGGTAGCCAAGTGCAGAACAGCAGGATGGAAAAGTTCCTTCCTCATTTTAAAAACAAGACGTGATAAGTTCAGGCAGCTACCCAGCAACAGACTTGTCATTATTATGTTTTCCTGCTGTGTTTGGGACAGCATGCAATAATTCATAGAGGTTAATGGAATAAGTCACGAAAGAGAAAGAGATACATCTTTCAGGTTTCAGCTGCAAGGGTAGAATTATATAGACATCAACATGCAAGGCAAGTGGTTGTAAACAACAGGAATGAAGACAATCGGCATCTACAACAAGGACAATGTTTACTCGGCAAAAAAGTTCACAGAGACAGAGACTTTGAAAGAAGGAGTGTGGTATCTTAATAAACACTTTATTATTTGACCCATAAATTATCCTCTTGGAACATCATTGTGCTTCTGGCAAAGAATAATGCAAGCTTTAATGAATACAGTGAAATTGCAAAACATAAATATGTTTGCCCAGGCAGCCAAAAAGCCAGTGTGATATTTAACATCCAACTTTTATAAGCACGTATGAATGTCGCCCTGATAAATGGATGCTTAAGTTGCCTATAGATCAGGAGTGTCAAACTGCTGGCCCACGGGCCAGATGTATCATAGCGAAACTGCACACACCCCATTGTCCGCAATGGCAAAAAAGGCGCAATATGTCGCAATACGTCATGTGACGTTGCGAGTTTGACACCCCTGCTATAGATGTTTCTTCTCAGTTTTCCCTCAGTTACGTAACTGAAATTTTGAAAAGTTATATTCCTATAAATGTTCTACTGGGTTTAATAGTACAGTACCAGTTAAGAAAGGCATATTTCTGGGAGGTTCCTGGGTCCCTTTCATTAATTTGAATTTGAAAAATAAGTTGGACAGAAAAACATTTCTCAGGTTACAGTTTCCTCAGAAATGCTCAAGTTTGCCATTTATGTTTTTAATAAAGCTTTTACACCCTGCAGAATCTAATGAATGGTTGGCTAACAGCATTACTCCCAAATATGCGTCTGTACACAAAAGAACTTTTCACCTTATTGATTTTGCCTCATATCAGCCATAAAGTTCTAAAGTGAAGAGTTCTAAGTTAACCTAAAATTCAGAATAACTATTTGTTCCCCATGAGATACTGGTTAGGATGAAAGAAACTTGATGAAAAGGAGGGCACCAAGAACAGCAGAAGCCTTCTATGTAAATCTGCGAGGGGTGAGTAGATGCACCTACACCAGCCATTTTAGGGCCTAAAGCAGATTCAGGGGCTTAAATATCAGCCTTCTGGGTAATTTGTAGACTTCAAGCCTGTATATCTGAGGAATATTTCTGCACTTATAATTGCATGCTGTTTTATTGGGCTGTTGTGTGTACACTTAATTTTTTAAAATTAAGGAACCTGAGTCTTTTTTCTGCTAGCAAACCGGTTTACGTTTGTTTTCTGTATGATTTGAAAAATACTCACCTCAGTAAAGCTGAGGATTTTCTACTACCCGAAGCTCATGATCCTTGCTACTAGGTAAAAATCCCAGTTTTTTTTTAATCGACTTCTATTCAGATTATTAGTATAAAACTCTCCAATTCATTTGTATTTCCGCTCTTTCTTCTGTCAAGGAATATTGTATATTTGTGTGCTAAGAAAGAAACAGATCTCATTTAAGAAATTTTTAGAAATGGTGGAGCAATATTCTTCATCTATGTTCTTGCAATAATGATTAGGGGCACCCCTCTTTTTCTCTTGACTATTTTTCCTGAGAAAGAATTATGGAAGCTCAAAAATCTGGAAATATTTTTGTGACTTATCTTTGCCATTTTCTATTTTCTATTAAACCTGTCCAGTAGGTGGCGGGGCACACTTACAGAAGATGATTTAGGATTCAAAGAAGAAAGAGATCTGGAACAAAAACAACAATTTTCTTGATCTCTGGCTACCAGCTACAGAGTAAACAGACCTGTTCCAGAATATAATCAAATGAGGCATCAGAGCAAAATAATATTTATTAAGAGACCATCTTATGTGTTTGTCTGCCACTGATAGGCAAGTAACAATGAGATGACATCCTTCTGCATTTAAATGCAACTTGTGCTTTTCTCCTCTTCTCTATATATTTTAATTTGCTTTTTCCTTAATTCCAATTCATGTTTTAATACAATAGAGCCTGTTGGTTATGGAGTCAAATCTTTCTTTGGAAAGCTTGAAGAAAGAAACTTAGTGAGCCCTCTCCTTCAATGCAGTAGACATCTCTACCTCTATTTGCCTGCCTTCCCACTGCACTGACTTTATGCTGTCATCCTGAGAAAAAAGAAAGGAAGTAGAGTCAGCTGCTCCTTTGATTAACTGATATTTTGATCCAAGTACAGTAGAAAGGAGAAGCAGAAAGATGAAACCTGTGACCAGGAACCATAGTTAGACTCAACTGTAGAACATT